TTAATTTTGTACTAGTTTTCATTGCCTTTGTTGAATTATTCGGACTTATTATTTCTAAGTAGGCTTCTTGAAAAATTGGAAAATCTGCTTCGTTGTGGAAGTATAGCACACTTTTCTTTGTGCATAAGTATTCTTTTATTAATTCTTTGGCATGCGTATTAGTCATGTCTTTGTACGTAATTTTTATGTTGGTTTTGTGAAAGTAATTCGTAACTTTTGTTTCGTTCTCGGTTCCTTTTTCAAATTCTATTTGTCGATTATAATAATTAAGTGGTCTTTCTGTGATTTGTAAATGGTTACTGTTGTCTTCTTGAGCACTATGTATTGTTGCTCTTGTGCTAATTGTATCTTCGCCTAAGAAGTTTTCGTTTAATTGAATTCTGGACAGAGCATCTGCCACATAATTTTCTTTTCCTGGGACGTATTTAATTTGGAAATCAAACTCATTTAGCTTGATCTTCCACCTTTGTAATTTCATGTTAGGTTCTTTCATATTATTTAACCAGACGAGTGGTCTGTGATCACTAAGGATTTGAAATTGTCGACCAAAGAGATAGGACCTAAAGTATTTAGTGGCCCAAACGATTGCTAATAATTCTTTTTCAATCGTTGAATAATTTAACTCATGCTCGTTGAGAGTTCTACTTGCATAGCATATAGGCTTATGCTCTTGCGAAAGGACGGCCCCTATTGCCATATTACTCGCGTCTGTAGTTAATGAAAATGGTTTTTCGAAGTTAGGGTATATTAAAATTGGGTCGGATGTTATGAGTACTTTTAGCTTTTCAAACGCTAGTTCGTAGTCTCTGTCTTTTATATTGATTTTTGCTCCTTTTTTTAATTTAAGTGTTAATGGTTTTACTATATTAGCGAAATTTGGTATAAATTTCCTATAGAAACCACATAATCCTAGAAATGATTTTATTTCTTTTGGGGTTTTTGGAATTGGGAATTTGACAATTGCTTGTATCTTGTTGGGATTTGGTTTTATACCCTCAGTTGTGATGATGTGACCGAGAAATTCAGTTTCTTTTCTCATAAACTCGCATTTATCCAACTGTAGTTTTAAGTTAGCTTCTCTAAGCTTCTTAAATACCTTTTGTAGCGACAAAATGTGTTCCTCCAATGAAGTGGAAAAAATAATAATGTCGTCTAAGTAGACCAGACAATCCTTAAAAATTAAATCTTCTAAGAGATTGTTCATACAACGTTGGAACGTTGCAGGTGCATTCTTAAGACCGAATGGCATGCGAGTGTACTCGTAATGGCCATGTTTAGTCGAAAATGCGGTCTTGGGTATTGAACCAGGATCCATTTGGATTTGGTGGAAGCCTTTGGCTAGATCAATGGTTGTGAAATATTGACATTTTCCAAGTTTGTCTAATATTTCATCCATGATCGGGATAGGGTATTTATCATTAATAGTTAGTTCATTGAGATTGCGGTAATCTATGACTAACCGGAACTTTTGCTTTCCAGATGCATCGTTTTTCTTTGGAACGATTATTACTGGTGAGCAGTAAGGGGATTTGGATTTACGTATGATATTTTGTTTTATCATATCGCTTATTTGTTTATTTACTTCCTCATCGTATATTTGAGGATATTTGTATGGACGCTTGTAAATTGGGTCCTCATGTTTTGTTAGAATTTTGTGTTTAATTGTACTAGTGAAAGTCAAATTGTCACCTTCATGGTACTGGATATCACGAAATTCATGTAAAACTTTTTTTATTTTTTCTTTTTCTTCTGAGTTTAGGTGCTCTAGCCTAAACTCATTGTTTTCTATTAATTCATTATTAATAGCGAAGTTAAATGGTCTGTCCTCTGTTGAGGGTGGATCAAGGCACTCTTGTGCGGTCATGTCCTCTTCGACCTCTTCGTCATTATATCTAAAACAAAAGTTAAATTCTCCTAAGGTTACGGATCCTTGTGCATAGTCTATTTTTGCTTGACATGCCTCAAGGTATTCTCTCCCAATCAGAACATCATAATGCTCTGAGAAGTCGTGAATATAGAATTTTTGTTTGCTCGGACAAATTTTGCTTGCTCCTAATCGTATACTTTGTTTTAATTCAATAACACCATTTATGGTGTGAACCTTTAATGTTTCGTTGTAAACTGGAAAATTTAAGCGGTTTGTTTTCATTAGATTTATGGTTGAACCTGTGTCGATGACACATTTTAGAACTTCGTCATTCATAATCAATTTTATGAATGGATTTCTTCTGTTTGTTCCGAGGCTTGCTGATGAAAATTTTCGGATGTATCCATTTTCATCTGCCCACTGTTACTATCTCTTTGACGTTTAGTCGGAGGGTTTGGTGCATTCAAGCGTGAATGGGACTGATTTTGGTAGTTTAAGGGATTTTGGTATCTACCTTGACTTAATTTCTGTTGGAACTCGTGGTGAGCTTTCTGATTGTCTTCGGACTTATTATGCTGTTTATTTTGTGCGTGATAACTCTGATTCGTGTTGGAATAGCCACTTGAAATGGTGGTTGGGTTAGCATTTTGCTGATAATTTCCCATGTTCCTACGATTGTTATTTGGATTTCCCTGAACATTATTATTTTTAGGTTTTTCAGTAACGCTATTTTCATATAATCCCTCTCTTTGAGCTACTTGCTTTAGTTTTTGTGTCGACGTAATGTCGTGTCTGGCTAACATCATGAAAAGCCTATCTGGTAATTTTTTTGTAATAACATCTTTGATTGTGTTATTCATAGCATTTGTATAAAGGGTTGTATTGCTAGGTATATTTTCTAGTGCTAACTTATTTAAAATAACAAAAGATTTATTCTCGAGCTCCTCGATGAACTTACGGACGTTTCCTTGGTAATTCGTGTTGTATAAGCGTCGAAGGAGTTCTTCAAATGGTGTCTGCACTTTGTATTCTTCAATCAATGCGTTTCTCAGCTCCTGCCAAGTGTTGGCTGCTGTCCTTTGTGATATTCTCTGAGCATCTCCTGTGACTTGCAATTCGATGGCTCCGTATAAGATGCTATGTTGTCTAACATCTCGGGTTGGATACAGGTGTAGGATGTAATCTATCCTTTTAATGAAGGCGTTTAGTTGATCCGTTGATCCGTCAAAGCTTGGCACCTGTCTAAGTTGTGAAAGGGCCTGGTTGAGGTGTTGTTCTGATAATTCCATTGTCATCTTGGTGTAATACACTTTTTTTTGAATAGTTTTGAGTTTGTAGGTTTGAACTTTATTGTTCTTTGATTTTGCACTTTTATTTTAAGTTAAAGTTTGTGATGGATTATTGTGTAAATGTTTTTTTTTTTTTTTGTGTGTGTGTCTTAAAAAGACTCAGTAATAACGTATTGCAGGGATCAAACGATATGCAAAGCCAGTCGTTATTAACTGTAGTAGCTTTATTGCCCAAAGGGTCAATATTATTAAGCTACTAATGACCCGAAGGTTCTTGTGCGGATACGTATTCGAGAAAATTTTTATTACACTCCGACAACACTTTCGGTCGCGATTGTGCGTTAGATCTGGGAATTAATTATCCTTTAGCGATCTTTAATTTTTCCCGACGTATCCTACCGGCTGCGCCAATTAAGTTTTACACGTTAGGTTACTATAAAAAAATATATTTCAATTTATTATTTTCACTTAACGGCTACTTTTGTTGAGTACATTCAGATTTGCTTCCCGAATATGAACTGATTTATCTAACTGTTGCGGTCGCTTAGCAAACTTCGCTTTGAGAGAGTTTGAGTCAAAATTGAGTGAAGTTTGAGCTGCGTCAGCAATTATGCGTGGGATAGTACTCTGATGGGAACATTGACAGTGGCGTGATATTTAGGGTGAATTGTTTATGTCTACCAAAGGGGGACAGTTTGATCTTGACCAATGTCGATGTTATCACCAGGCTCTTTGTTTACAATATTAGAAATGTTTATAATTGTGCTTATGCTTATGTGCTAAGATATGTTAAAGGGTGGGTGCGACTATGGATATGTCACTATATATATATATTTCTGAATATATATAGTATATTTCTCGTTGTGCGTTTACAGATCTTTTCTTTATACGATCGTCCATTAATATTGGCACTCCTTAAACTTCAATCTTATAGTATTCGAAAGCTTCTCGACATTAAATAGCTTTCGAAAGCTGTCTTACGTCTTCTTCATACTGATTAAACAATTTACCAAATATTATTTAATAATCGTTGATCATTCATATTTATTATTTTCTATGAGTTAGATTCTTATACGAAATCGTATGTATCAGTTTTTTAAATATACATATCGTTATGTACATAGCCGAATACGTCAAGTACGTGTGTATAAGTATGGACATAAAAGATTCTTTCGGTTCTTTCAGAGACGATCGAAAACGTGTCAGTATAAAGTTTTCAGTGAACAATCTCGTATGTACGTGGAAAAGCTCTGTGAAAAGTGCTAAGAATTGAGTCGACCTCTCCCGTTTTTTGTGTTTGTCTGTTTTTATTGTTCAAATCAAATGGACTTGCATATACTTTTCAAAGAGAACAGACGTTTGGTATTAATAGATACCTTTATAACAAAAAGACTTGCATACGTTTTTAATGTATATATATACAATACACTAAAACTAATGCTACATTGGGCAATTAGAATTGCTTATTTTGATAGTTTGTGTTCGAAATTAATTTGTGAAACGTGTTTCATACCGTTTAGTCATTTTCGGTCAAAGTTTTCGTCAAGTTTCTCTATAATTAAAACGACCAAAATATATATTTATAAAAATAGAATATTTCATACACACACAAGCTTCCTAGTTAATGCAAATAAAAGTGATGCTTCCCACATTAAATAAACAAATATACGGAGAAAAACAACAAAAAGCTTATATGATAAACTGCCCGTAATAATAATAATAATAATAATAATAGTTATAATAATAATAATAATAATTATAATAATAATAATAATACCAAATTTATCATTTCTTGATAAGGAATGCCTATCAAAACATACATAACATACCTAATGTGAATTCAACCAATGTGCACATTTTACATTCAATATTCAAATGATTAAAAGTTACCCATGCTTAGTCAATCGACAAAACAATTGAATCAACAATGTACCGCTTAACACATGTTTTAATTTTTAATATATCCGTGACCTTCATGTAGTGTACCTGATAAATCAGATGAATAAGAGGAGTTGACCTTTTGGAATATAACTGAGAGGAAGAACCAAACGAAAACAAATGCATTTACAGGAGACGCACAAGTAAGCAAAAAAAGCTTTTTTTTCAATTTAAATCAATTTCATAAAAATATAACTTCAAACTCTTTCTTGTCTACAATACATTCAAATTTATCCGCGTTTTTCACAATAATATCGAAAACTCAACAAATCAGGTAATCAATCGGGAGTGCCCGATTCAGGGTAAAGTTTGGCATGGGAAACCACTGGAAAATAAGTAAGAGGCTTTCGTCGAAAGTTACCGAATATAGGCTACCCTGAACCCTCTTCTCTTCAGCAACTTTCTTCACTCGATATTATAAATTAGCTATAAATTGTAGGATACTTAATATATGACTACTATAGTAGTAGGAGCTACATGTCAAGTTTGGTGACTGGTACTTAAAACATAAGAGATTCTCCCAAAAAGCCGCATTTCGATTCTTATCGAAAATCCATAAAATATTCAACGATGTAGGCTTGAAAGGTGAATACGATTCAATAGGAAATCTACATTTATATATATGCCATAACAAGTACATATAACATAGCATATAGCATATATATATACATATATACATATTTAAAGAGGTCTCAGAGACTAAGCTGACCCCCCCCCCCCCCCCCCCCCCCCACCCCCTGCAATGATAGCTTTAACATTTCCTTAACAGTGCCAGACTCACTTAAGAAAAGCTGATTGGCATAGTGTCAAACCAAAGCTCATTGATGTTACACTCAGATGTGCTCGATGTCCTGGCGCACGCGCTGCTGGAAGGGTGCCGTTAGTGAAAATTGAAGTAACCATTGGCAACTGTCATTTGCAACGTTTCTCTCTCTTTCGTTTCTCTGGTTTTCCTTGGGCTTGTTCTTGCTGTTGTTTTGTTCAGAAAAAGCTTTATTTGGAACGGAGAGCTTAACAATCAATACGAGATTTTTTTAGTTCGGTTTTGAATATATGCCAAGCAAACCTCCGAGTTTAATAATTAAAATTAAAAAAAAAAAAGTTTTCACGTGATGTTAAATGAGTTTTCAGAGTTATTCTCATTACGTGTCAAAGGACTCACAAGTTTTCGGTACCTTTGAGTTTTTCCAAGTGTCGATATATATATAACATAACATAGTGCATAAAATTTGCATTACGTGTACTTCAAAGTGGTTCCAAGTTTCCAAAAACCAATCATGTGGTTGTCCGATGAGAATGGCTTTTTATTAATTAACTAAGGTAAATTTCCAAGCCTCAAAAAATGTGTTAATTTTGTCAAGCTCTTTTTTTTATTTCGAGGCATACATAAGAATATTTTCCAAGAGAGAAGTTATGCAAATGTATGTATGTATTTACATATATGCATAAGAAAATGAAATGGCATATTTCAAGCTGATGCTCTTCAGTACAATAACCCCTTTTTCATTAGAAACACACATTGATACAAGTTATTATTATTAATCAGAAGTAAGGCACACTTTTATTTATGCCTAAAAAAGTGCGTTGACTCCTAGGTAATACATAATATATTTATTCGCAATAAGCTGGTAAAAACCCAACAATGAAACCCAAAATACAAAGCAAAGCTAATTCGAATATAATATAAAAATTAACGGGTCTCATTTTAATACTGACCAATAAATGCCATTGTTGTAATACATCAGTATAAATTACTAATGAATCTGGAGCAATGCAAATTCGAGCTTAAGATAGACCAATGTTATTGTTCTAATGCTTTTGTATAAATTACTAAGGAATCTTTCCTGCAAAGCAATGATAATTCGAACTTAACATAGAAATTAACAGTCTCAATTAAGGACTGAATTTAACCAATGTTATTGTTGTAATGCATCAAATAAAATACTAATGAATCTTTCTCTCAAAGCAATGCAAATTCGAACTTAAGATAGAAATGATCAGACCGATTTGTGGACAAAAATTAGTTAATATTTTGGTCTCATTTCAGAAATGACGAAAATGTCGCCCAGCCACAAAAAAACCTCAAAGCTCACACCAAAGACAATCGGCAGAGACCGCACATTGATACTAGCCCCAAATATATAGATCCGAACATAGTGCGATTGCAGCCCCCGCCCCCGCCATCAAAGCCGCCACCAACTATAGAGCCTGGCTCACTGCACGCATACTTTCTCCAAAATATTCGCACTGGTGCGAGGACAGGCCTAGTTCCTGTTGCTGATAACTCAGAAGATCGACGAATTCATTATCCAAATGCATTGCAGCGATCTGCAACATTACCAGCGAAACATAATCGTCTAGGAGTGCGCAGTCGTGTTACCTTTAAGGTTCCATCAACGGCAGCCCAAACCCCATCGGCTGCAATAGAAAGGAGCAGCAACGTACCAAGTGGTGGTCACCAAGCAGCGCAAAAGGAAACCAGCAAAATGACGTCCGAGGACCTATTGCAGCCGGGACATGTCGTCAAGGAGCGCTGGAAGGTACAGAGAAGGGCACTTATTTTTTATTTAACATTCTTAAAATAATAATTAAATGAATCTACAACATGGTACTTCCCTTGGGTCCATTTATTAATTATGACTTTAATCTCCATAAAAAAATGGATGCTCAGTATCAATCAATGTATGTCAGATCTTTTCAGATCTTTGAAAATTAGTTAAAAGGCGGTCAAGCAACTGCTTTGACCAATTTTTCTCTAGTTGCATGTTTGGAATTTCCGAAACCGGAAAAAAATATGCAATAAGTTTAACACAAATCTTTAAACAAATCCACTGTTTAACTAAGTTATCATAAATGTGACTATGTTTAATGTAATATCGATACAAGCCGAAGGAATGTATCGATAATTTCAACAAGCAGTCGATCAATTTTTGAAAGATTGGGAGACCGTGAAACAGTCGGTCAGTCATTTGCTCGAATGAAAATGTTTTCTATACAAATGTTATTTTGTGATTATTTTCAGGTTGTGAGAAAAATTGGAGGTGGCGGCTTTGGTGAAATTTACGAGGGCCAAGACTTAATCACACGTGAGCAGGTGGCACTCAAGGTCGAGTCCGCCCGCCAACCGAAACAAGTACTCAAAATGGAAGTGGCCGTGCTAAAGAAACTGCAAGGAAAGGAACACGTTTGCCGGTTTATTGGATGCGGCCGTAATGATCGCTTTAATTACGTGGTCATGCAGCTGCAGGGAAAAAACTTGGCCGAGTTGAGACGCGCCCAGCCGCGGGGCGCATTTTCCCTCAGCACAACACTCAGGCTGGGCTTGCAAATTCTAAAAGCAATTGAATCTATACACTCGGTTGGCTTCCTTCACCGCGACATTAAGCCGGTAAGCCTTCACTTAAAATCTTGATTATTTTGTTTTTTTTTTTTTGGTACTCAATAGTCGGCAGTGGCCGACTCGGAGACTCCCCGAAATGCGCGCCAAATTACTTTTAATTTTAGTTTCCTTCTTCGCAGCAGCCAAGAGAGTGCACAAGCATATATAATGCACACAATTAAATACAAAACATACAAATTATTACACTATGAATATAAAAGTCGCAATTTATTTAAGCGTCCCTACTTAACAGTTACGTTTTTATAGCACTGGCTATTTCGTTACGATTATTTTTATGGCTCATCGATGATTAATCGACAGCAAAATCATCGAGTTGTAATCGGTAAAAGCAGTGTTGGTGAATACATCCACAAATCGATGTATAGAAGCTTTTTAGCGAGTCAAAGAACTCTTGACCAATAATATAAAGTTAGATGGCATCAAACCTAAGAGAGACAGACAAAAATGCTCGTTAAATATTTGTTATATTATGTATTTTTGGTTACAGAGCAACTTTTCTGTGGGGCGCTTGCCATATAATTGCCGGCGCGTTTACATGCTCGACTTTGGATTGGCGCGCCAATATACGACTGGGACAGGAGAGGTCCGGTGTCCCCGAGCAGCGGCTGGATTTCGAGGCACTGTGCGCTACGCCTCAATAAATGCACATCGCAATCGTGAAATGGGGCGACATGACGATCTGTGGTCTCTATTTTATATGCTAGTTGAATTCGTGAATGGCCAGTTGCCGTGGCGAAAGATAAAAGACAAGGAACAAGTTGGATTAACAAAGGAAAAATATGACCATAGAATATTATTAAAACATCTTCCGTCGGACCTGAAACAATTCTTAGAGCACATACAATCACTCACGTACGCAGACAGGCCAGATTATGCGGTAAATTTTCTTGAATCTCAACTATTTTAACTGTTTATATAACCATATTTCCCCTTATCAATCTATCAAAAGATGTTAATTGGCCTATTCGAGCGCTGTATGAAACGGCGCGGCGTAAAAGAGGCCGATCCGTACGACTGGGAGAAGGTGGACACGGCCACAGTTGGCAATATAAATGCATCGACAAACGCAATCCCAACTCCGGCTAAAAATGAATATATGCACGGTAATGTTACCCAAATGACGGTAGCCGCTTCCAATGCCAGCGGCACAGAATATGTTAGTATCTTATTGTATTATCATATTACCTACAAACAAATAATTGTTTTCATTTTACATTGCTTTAGGTACGGAAGCGAAACGATATCGATACTGCTCAGATGGCCTCAACGGAACCTCTTCATATCAAGGAAAAGGTGAACAGCAAAAACGACAAACTTCCTAAATGTCTTCCCTTGTAAAGTAATTAAATTGTATAGGCATTGCTGATTGATGTGCTAAGTAGGAGGGAGACGCTCTCTTTAAATATGTCCCCTTACAAATGGGAATAGCAAATAGTAATGAAATTAATGGGAGGGTTAACAAATCCAAACATTTTTCTGTACCTCCTTTTTTCTTTTTTTGTTCCATCTTTTTTCTACCTCTTTTCTTGGCTTATCCATCGATTTCAGAAACTATAAAAATTGGATGCTTCAAATTTGCAGCCTCCCTCCTACAAAATCCTTCTAAAATGATAACTGGCTCATCCCATTTTTGAGAATCTGATTAGTATCGATTTTTAGATTAGTTTTTTTTTTTTTTATATAGCCCTGAACAGATTAAAAATGGGTATAAGGGTATATAGTATTTGTGCAAAATCCAAATCTATTTAACAGGCAGAAGGAAGCATCTCCGACCCCATAAAATATATAAATTCTTGAGTATATATATTCGTTGGTTAATTGTTCAAGCTTAATTTTACTTAATTTTTGTATGAAGAATAGGCTTCCAAATTCAATAGTGCCTGATAGGTGATAAGCAATATCACAAAAATTGTCTATTGTGGAAGTGATTTAATTGACTGCTCCTACTATTTGTAGGTTGATAAAAACTGCAACGCAACAATGACTCCCCAAGCGACTGCAGACTGTGCCGTGCAGAATGTGAATTCAGGCATTCAAAATACAACATTACCAAAACAACAGCATCAGCAGCAGCAACAACTTGTCCTGGTCGCAAATACGTCGATAGCTATTCCGAATCTGCCCAGTGCACTTATCAAATCGTCGACAGTGGGCATTGTCAACCATGAAGTGTCCGGCAGCACGCACAATGCGCAGTTGAAGTCAACTCATGGCAAGCGCTGTCAGCCTCAGACCGTGTCCGGCTCTTATACGGCATCAAATCAAAACAACTCGGCGCCAGTTTATGTAGGTCATATCATTTACATATTAAAAAATCTACTAAGCAAATAATATTTAACAGTATCCGGAGAGCAAAATTGTGCCAAGTGCTTTAACAAAAACGGCAACAGTTGACAGTCACAAGGACAATAATTTTGCAACCGACAACGATCTGAAGCAAAAAAATAACAAACAGATTTGTGTCGAGGGTGCAACCAGCCGATCTCTGGGCGGGGAACAGCAGTCGCTAACGAGCAAGCCAACAAAAATGGAATCCCTAGAATTATCTGTGGTAAAACACCAGCAAATTGTCGGAGAGAAGAGCTCCGACAGCAAGCGATCCTCCATTGGCGATCAAAAATCGACCTATGGTCGCCTGCGGGTTCTGGCCGCGCCGCCAATTGGCAGCCTCGAGATGGCCAAATTAAGTGATCAGGAGAATCGAGAGATTAATGCAATTTGCAACAATGGCAGTCTAACGCCCAAGACGGTTATCTGTCCACGTGACCAGATGTTAATTGGATTAGCTGGCACTACTATATCGCCAACCAATCGCCGCTCGGCAACCTCAACCAACCTGCGTCTGTCGTCCCTGCTCAGCAGCAGTGGCGGTGCTGGTGGCACTGGCTCCGGACCCATTACCACCCATGCCAAGAGCAGCACGGCTGGCGACCATTCGGTCACCCAGTTCGCTTTAATCGACGATGAGAATGTGTCGGCGCTTCAGCAGGTAACAAAGGGCGGTGGGGCCCTAACGCTGGCCTCCCAATGGAAGAGTCAGTTCGACGATTCCGAAGACACCACGGACAACGAATGGAAGCAGGAGCCACAGGTAAATCGAATGTAGTCAATTGCCGTGGGGACGACTTCCATAATTCAATGCTTAAAAATGTCCAATTCCTAATATCTTTATCTTTTTATCCCTTTTTGTACATATGTATATATGTATATAAAACTGTGTCTCTCGATTAGACCGGGTTTTTAAGGGCTTATATAATATAAAATAATATATAGAATTACATAATATTATATATGTATATAATGATCAAGAATCACTGTTAAGATATGTTTAAGATATCTTTGTAGACAAGAAAGTTAGTATTTAATATTGTATAGCTTTAAAGGAAAAATCGGTTGACAAATTATTTCCCCATATAAAATTGCTTGGTTTTGATGATATCTTCACAAAACTGAGCACTTACGAGTCTTGAGCCTTTCGCCATATGTCAAATAGGGTATTTATACCTGCTTGTTATACCCTTTGCCCAATGGAAATAGATTTAATGGGGAATATTTTTATTCATAGAATGATTTGTAACAGGCACATCGTGACGACGAGCTGAGGCCTAGGAGCTGAGATCTAGGACTTACAATTTTTAATATCTTCATAGAACCAGTTTTAAATAATTTTGGTTATATCTTGTCGCACTTCCAGCATATCCATCAAATCGATTATGTATCTATTAATAGGCACAAAAGAATTCATATTGCTCTGTATTTAAGCATTTCAAGCTTTCAAAGCTGAAATAATATATATTGATTCAGGGGTATAGGGTATTGTGTAGTCGAGCACATGTGCGTGATATATTTGTGTGTATATCCGCGAGATAAATGTAGAGATCACATGTTAAGCGTTCCCAACCTCTTGTCTCACAGTCACAGCCAAATTTGGATCAATTTACCAAAGCAGATGTGTCATTGCCGTTAATACGCCGAACCTCTAATTTACCCGTAACTCGTAAAGCAAAACAATCCGAGAATCAAAACGTTAAGAGGTAAGTGAAACAACCTACATGTTTAAATGTTTACTCCCTTTTATGTGTATGTACCCTTGAAAATTTAATGCAGTATTTGCCCAACTAAATAAAAACAAGTAAGAGGTTCTAGTCGGGAGCTCCCGACTAGGGGATACCCTGAACCCTCATCTACCAACTTCAAATGCATATATATATTTTATTTTAGAAGCTATATATTAAGTTTGTCGACTCTAGCTCTTATTATTTACCAAAATTGCCCAAAAAACAGGATATCAATATCGAGTTTTGTCGATTGCTCGGAGTAAGTTATCGATTATCGGAAATAAACTCGATCTGCGCGGGAACTAGGAGCACCTACATCTAAATTTCAAGTCTCTAGCTCTTATAGGTTCTGAGATCCTTGCGATCATACATACGGACGGACGGACGGACAGACAGACGGACATGGCTAGATCGACTCGGCTATTGATGCTGATCAAGAATATATATTCTTTATGGGGTCGGAGATGCTTCCTTCTGCCTGTTACATACATTTGGATTTTGCACAAATACAATATACCCTTATACCCATTTTTAAGGGGTTCAGGGTATAAAAATTAGGTCAACATTTTCTAACATATTGAAAGCCGAATAATTTTTGGGCGATTCCGATCCCCACCTTTCCCCAATTATACATGTTTTTTTTTAATAAAAGTAGTCACGAATGTTGTTGTAATACGAAAAAAATGGAGTATATTTATTATAAAATCTGTCTAGCTCTCTCTTTCTCTCTCTCTATTTTTAAAAACATTGTGAGACTTTCCTGAGGATACCCGAATGTTTAATAAGTCAAAGTCCCTATGGCAGGCCTGCTTTTAAGATTAATTTGAATCAAAATGTTTTAGTTATTTCCAAAAGAGGACAAATTTGAACATTCGTTAGCTTACGCTCTAAAGAATTAGGCCAAACAACAAAACAAATTGTTTCTTACATTTAAGGAAATTATAAACTAAAATGAAATTGTATGCCAAAGCTCAAAAATCTCAAAATCTAAAAAAATATATAATTATAATATATCATTATTATATATTATATTTAATAAATATTTTTTTTCTCTAAGAGGAAATTTGCTTAAAAAACAAATTTTTTGTAATTAAGAAACAATATTGATTTAAAATTCTACATACATAACATACGAATGTGAGCTGTCTTATATATAATATATATATAAATATAAATCCGTGTATAATAATCTTCCAAATGACAATAGATACACGCTTAACATAGCTGGAATTGAGAACTATGAGACCTTGCAAATGTCCATACCGCACTGCTGGTCCGAGCCTGCAATGGGTAATGTATTACGCAAAGAGTTAGAGCCACCTGCTGTCCAGCAAGCAGCCTTTGATGACACTGTAAGCATATTCAAAATTAATTTAATTAAATTAAGTCACGTTTTTAGTTCTATTTCTTATTTAATTTTTATGTCTTAGAAATATAACCTGTTGGTCCCATTGTCAAGTATCTCATGCATGTTTCCTTTCTGATTTTCATTCAATTTTAACTGCGATCCTTTTTATATAGTATATTATATGCATGTAGGACTTTTTAAGCATTTTTTTAAGGAGTCCATCTCTATTCTGCTATCAACCAAGCATAATAGATAAATACTTGGTCTATCGAGCCGAATTAATTGCAAATCAACATGAATACAAAGGATCTAAAAACTATTTGTAAAATGATTTAAGTCGATTTTGCAAACCAGCTAAAAAAAGTTGGCATATAAACCTCGTAATAGGGACCTTGTTATAAAAAATCTATACATAAAATAATACTACAATAATATTTTTATACTTTCTGTATTCGATCAAGGTGTATCGCATGGATATAGCGAGAAACGTTTGTGTTCGGGAATCTCTATCGGAAAACGCGCCATTGTCGAACCAAAAGGCCTCGACTAATTTCTCCACAATTACATCATTCAAGGATGCCGCTGCTGATGTCCATTCGCGGAACTCAAATAAAAATCAAGCCACATGCGAGCATCGCAACAGCCTTCCCAACGTATGCCTGATAGATATTTTTGATGAAAAGTCGGCTGACCCAAATACAAACCAAACCGCAAATACGCATATTGAACTCCAGGATTCCCCCAACAGGACGAACAATGCAGTTGCAGCAGTGCCTTGGTGTGTTAAAACAACATTTTGCCAGAGGAGCCACCTACCGCCTCCAGATACACTGGATATGCACTGTCATCAGCAGGTTAACCGAGTGACCAGTGATGCAGCTATTCAGGGTAACAACGGTTGTGTTAGCGGACGACTTGAAATTCGTGTCATTCCGAAAGGTAAATAACGATATTTCATACGTTTTAAGCAATATTTTTAATTAAATATAATACTCTAATATTTTTGGAAGATTCTCTTCGTTATATATAGTCCGATATTTATAAAATTTGTAGAGTCTAGCTCTTATAAGCTATAAGCTCTATGCTCTATAAAAGAGAATTTAGATATTGATTTTTATCGACAATGTGATGATCGAAATGTGTGTATATATATATATAATGTATATATATATATATATATATATATATATATTCATGATGAGAACGACGAGGCGATTCGAGCTCGTCATGCCAGCCTGTATGAACGCGTCAATTTCAGAAATTATAAAAGCTAGACTTGAAAGATTAAATGTATATTCTCCTCAATACATATACATATATATCAAGTATATCTTTTTTATATTCTATATACTTATACGAATTGTATATTATATATATATGCCTATGTTCGGGTGTATTTTTGTAACGACAACTTGGCGCTGGGTTGAGGGTATATCCCAGTCGGGACTGGGGACTCTCTTAATTTGTACTATAATAACGAAATCTGTTAATTTGTAGAAAATTCGCACATAGACGACTCTGTCTACTACGATGCCTTAGCAGCCACTACTAAAACATCTATAAACGCTTACAAAGTTTCTAAACAGGACGTATCTGGTGATATGCAAGTTTTTGACCTAAATGATAAGATGTCAGTAAACTGTGATGATAAAGAAATGGCAGCTGCAACAATTTCTGCCTTCACAAATCGAACTGCTAACTGTCATGCACTTGTTACCCAAGAGGTGCTTGAGACGGCCAACGATTTTAGTTCCTGCAAAAATCAGTTTGCCGATGAAGGAATCAAGTGCACTGCTGAAAGCCAGATTGCTCCCCTAGTTGCCCAGACGAAGCCCGATGACTCGAATCCTCTTGTCAGTAGCCGAATCGAAGGCGGAGCCTTGGATATAGCTGACGGTGGATGTGAAGTGCCATTGTGTACCCCTAGCAAGATTCCTGTGCTTACTTCCAATTTACGTCAAGCGAAATGTGCCTCTTGGAGTGGAGTCGACACAACGGCTGCAGCAGCAATGGATGAGTCTCAGGGAACACAAATTCATCACGAGATTCAAACACCCGCTGTGGACCCTTCCCGAACTCATTATTCTAATGCATTACAAAATTCTCCAAATATTATGGATCTAACACCAGGTTGGTCCTGCTTATGTTTCAGCCGATTACCTTGAGGTCTACTATATAAATACTTATGTATATCGAATAAACTTGATTTAATTTATTGTATAGTCCAGATCTTTATGTGTGATCTATATCTTAAGCTTTTGTGCTTTATCAAAACTCACACAAATTCCGTTATCATTTAATTAAGGTTTGCGTCGCCGTCGTGAATCTACAGAAGGAAAGTACGTGACAGATCCCACACAATTAAATCTAAGATTTCAACGACCACAAGCTCGGATCTCTAGTAGGTAAGCAATTATTCTGTAAAGCAGCATTACTGCGTGCTTGTTAATCATCCGGCTTAATTACAGAACTCGCGGGGTTCCTACTACAACAATGTTGAGCAATTTTGATGATCTATCTACGGATATCAGTAATGATCAGGCTGGCAGGGAAATCTGTGAAGACAATACTAGCTTTGGAACCTTATCGTGTAAGCTAGCAGCAGCAGCAACTAACTCAACCGTAGTCTCACACAATACGGCACGGAATCAAAATTCAGTCGAGCCTTCAATACGGAATGATATTTCGCCTCCACCGGGCGATCCCAAAATAGAAAATAGTGCACGCCTTCGTCGCTACCGGCATAACATAGAATAATTCAAAAGCTTTTTAAAAACAAACAAGAAGCAATAGTGTCGATGCATGGGAATGTACCGAAATATATATATATAATTAAACTTACTCGCTTACATATGTATGATTGGGTTCTGATGAATTCATTCAAAAGTTTGAATGATTCTTTACTGTGTCATTGCCATATTAGGTATAGCCCAAATGTATGTAATAGACGATGTAATTAAGATGACGAACTGAGAAGATCTAACTATGTTCATCTGTCCATTTTTTGGTCCTTTCGATCTCGGAGGCAAATACATTTATTCTCCTTCTGTTCTGGTGTTCTATTCTAAACCATTAAAAAACAAAAACAAAACTCCGCAATTTATCAATTTGTTGGGTAAATTATTATTATAATTTATTGTACATTTACAATGCCAAATGAAAGTTTTATCTTGAATTTTGTTATGCATGAAATAATAAATTGTATCATCATTTGCATATTATAGATCACAAGCTAAAGATACAACAATCAAATAGATATTATGTTTATTCGGTGGTCGTATTTCTTATTAAAGAAATTTCTATGTGTTAAATCAAGCCAGCAGCTTTGGATGGATATTAGATGGTTTTGGAAAATCGGGGTGTTGTTTTTATTATTCTTCATAAATCTGAAGCCTTCATAGAATATTTATGATAGAATATTTATGTTGACGAAGATGCCCTTTTTTATTTTGATCTTTTATAAATTTACTATATAAACTACATTTAATTGCTTGCATTAATTATAATTTTAAATTGAAATTCAAGTTTAGCTTACAATTACATTTATATTTAATATTTGAAAACAAAACATTGCAAATGCAAGCCATTTTCTATTTTAGTTTCATACATTTTAAAAACAGCCTCCGCCAAATCGAAAATTCGATTTAAATAATGGTTCATAATCGATAGTTGGTAGCTCTTATTCGCTCATCTCCAAGCTGACCACAGCTCAAAGTTATCGGAAATTCATCGTCAAGCAGTATCCTTCATTTATGATTTAATTGCTCATATTTAATAAAATACAAAGTATAGTTAAGTTCAGCCGTCGGAAATGATATCCTAAGAAAAAAAAAATGATAAATATTACCAGTAAAAATCAATTGACAACCGATAGGCTGTGGCGGCAAAACGATATCTTGTAAGTTGTGTTACCCAGCACTTGAAAATCACCAACACATGCATACTGACAAAATAAATATACAATTAAACGTCAATTAAATCAATGATGACCGAAAAATATACATCGGAGCTATTAGGTATTGTTATAGCTCAAATAGCTCAAACAATTGGATATAGCAGGACTCAGAGTGCCCCTCTGGAATTGCTAGAGGACATTTTACAAAGATTTATCCAAGAACTCGCCCGCGATTTACATAGCCAAGCCGAGCACGGTAATAAGCGAAATACATACATATGCTGATAAATATTCATTTTCATCTTTATATCATTATATCTATTTGATATTTAACTAAATAATTTATTGGTCATAGCTAACCGCGTCGAGCCCAATCTAAAGGATGCATTTCTCAGCTTAAGGAACCTTAACATAAACGTTCACGAATTGCTTGACTATATTGGAAATGTTGAGCCAATCCCATTTGTACGGGAAGTGCCAGCATACCCCGTCAAAAGAAGCTCCAATATGAATTTCCTAAAGCCGGGCAGTGCGGAGACTCTGACGCGACCAGTCCACATATTCGAGTACCTGCCTCCGATGTTGCCCACAGAACCAACTGCAGGCACCTCCACAAGATGGCCTGACAAAGCGTCTGACCAGCAACATCTTCAACTATGCAAACTGGAGTCAAGCCGAGAGGTTGTACTCACATTTAGCCATAAAACTGCGGTCAAGTTATTGCAAGATGTTAAACCAGACTTTGTCGCTGCTGGCATACAAAAATGGAGCAGCCAAAACGATCCAGCAGTGATCGCATCAACATCTAGGGACAACTTGGATCACGATGGTCACGCGTTACGAGAAATAAGCAGCGTAGTTATGACAACCGGAGGGTTTATTTCGCCAGCAATAGAGGGAAAATTGCCGGAAGCCTACGTGCCTGATATTATTGGTAAGCAACTTTCGCAACTGGGAGTGCTCCAGTCTGGCGTGAAAGACTGCGAATTACGGGCTATTCAGAATTGATAATATTTGAATCTTTTTAATCGAATTATTAGATAAATTCAAAGGACTGGATGCGCCATCAATTTCGCCTCCAGCACCTAAAACACCGGAAAACCAAAAATATTCCTCCAACGATATCGTTGACGTGCCAGTTATAAAAAGAATGGCCTCTCTCGAGGCAACGCCACATTCTGTAGAGAATGCGCCCATTTTTATTGATCGAATGACACCAAATAGCTTGCAGGAAGTCAACACTGTTTTGAAAGCTGATGCTACATCGGTTCCTGCAACATCAAACATCAAAGCGAAAAAGAACAAAAAGAAAAATTTGGTGGGCGGTCGGCCAAATGATCAAACAGCAGATCTAAGTTCAATAAAGGCACAGGAGAAGGCTCAACGAAAAGCTTTAAAAATCTATCACAAGTTGTCCAAGAATCAGGCTGACGGCGGCGGCAACATAATAGAACTAAAAAAATCGATGAAAAATTTAAATCGTGGCATGTTGTCGGCCTTGCCGGACGGCTCAACCGAGAGGCTGCAGCTAGAAAAATTAATAAGAAAGCAAACAAAGCAACGTCAAAAGCACCTAAAGAGCCAAAAGCAACAGCAGCAATTTCCACCGATGTCCAAGTTAGCCAAAGGTGCAATCAATCCCATAGCGTTGGCTGCCGAATCCAATGCAGATCTTGAGCCAACTTTGGTACCCTTCGCACACCCATTGGCAGCCGGTACGGCAATAGCCGAAAATGTTGTTGGTTTGGTCGAAAATAAAGAAATATTTCAAACCAATTTGTCACTAACCCCTGCGAGCAGCATTGTGGATGCTTCGCTGTCCGAGGAAATTAAACTGGCAAGCGAACCGGACCGAAATAAATTGAATATTTTTAAAAAAATATCCAAACAAAAGGCGCCCAAACCAGTATCGCCAAACCAACTAAATATTGGCACAAATCTCTTCGGGAGTCCCAGTAGCAACGTATCGCCATTGATAACGCTACCATCCGGAACAACCATAACGCCAGCTCCACCGGCTGGCGCCACCGAAAATGTAAATATGCCTCTGCACAGTCTGGGCATGTCAGTGGGTAATAGTATGGCCACATACGATTATATGCAGCCTTTTGGACACTTATCAACTGTGTCTCCAACGACTGCCAATCTTGTGGGCATCGATATGAATAAGCCGAAAAAACGCGGTCGTAAGCCAGGTGGCAAAAATCAAGCCAGATCACTCGTACCACCAACTGGCCTCGCACCAATACCTATGCAATCGCCAAAGAAAACGAAGGACACAAAATTAAATGCATATATCACAGCGGACCCAGTGTCTATAATTGACAATTCAGCAACTTTAGCCTTACCAATGGAACCGCTAAATTTGAGCAACGTCGATCAATTGAAGGGCGGAAATTTTTCAGGATTTCTCGATGTCAGCGCTGGAAATGCAGCCGTTGAGCCTAATACTGGCGCACTCAGTGAGACGAGCCTGAAATTTCAGAAGGTCAAAGAGAAAAAGGATAGAAAAAAGAGTAAAGCAAAATATATTAATTTGGACACCAATATTGTGGACAGCAAAAAGCTCGGTTTAATGGATACAGAGAAGCAGATATCGAAAAATGCCACATTTCCAGCGAAGCTGGAAATCGGTGACAGTAACAACATACAAATTCCATTAGATAAGTTGCCTGGAGGTACTAAAAACAGAGTTCTCGACGTATCCCCGCCGTTAATGGGTTATAGTAATAGGCTTGTGGCCAACGCGGGACCATCAAGTTTCCCCCCAAATTCAGCAGCATTGCATCCAAATAGCCAAGCAAGTATGATGCCAATCCTGCCGCTGCTGCATTTTCCGCCACGTCCTGGCCTTATACCATCTGGACCTGGTCTCTTTGCACCAAACTTAACCGGTTTCAATAAAACGGTTGCTTGTAATACAGGCTCCAACATGATGATGCCAAACCCATTTATGCCATTTCCTAGTCGGTCCAAACCATCGCTCATTGAAACGACGACGGCGACTGGTAAGAATCAAATCTCTTTGCAATATTTTCGAGTGTCATAAGATACATTTTTTTTTTTTGTAGATAATAAAGCGGCACTTTTGGGTCTTTTGCCGCTTTCGGATATCCACTTGGAGCGCAGCTATTGCAATGTAGCTCCTTTGGTGCCAGATTCGATGAAATTGTCAAATCAGCAGCAATTTGCACCCAATAAACTACGATCACCACATGGTTTTGCGTCCGATGCGAAGCAAAGCCATGAATACAGTGAAAAGGACATAAGTCACACTTCGCCCATTTCGAATGTAATGCCTGTCGCCAAAGGAGTCGGACTATTGGGCATAGCGGATGAAGCACAGACTAACAAAATTGATAGATCTATTAAAGCCATCAAGTCTGCAGCAGCCGCTACGGGTAACGTTGGAGACCCAATCGAAGTATCAGATGACTCGAACGATGACGAATCCAAGGCAATAAAAAAGAATCAACAAATTCCCGACTACCCACAAGCACATGCTCTCAAATCAGGCTTAATTCAGCCATCGAATCTATTAAATTCTGGACCAATGCAGCACCTTGAAAGCTCTCATCTATATGCTATGAACGCATCTGCCTTGCATTCCCCAATACCTGACGGTATACTGTTCAATAAACAAGCTAAGCCGGCAGCCTTGAAAGTTACACAACCCGAGAATAATTTATCGGCCGCCAATCCGACACCATTCAACATAAATTTTATGGGCAATGATAAATTTAGCCTAGCTGGCGGCGCCGATCTGATACCTTTGTCACGCGTCGATAGTGGCATGGCGTACTCATCTTTAACCGTGCCAGCTACAAGTTTGGCGGCCGGTGCAACATCTGGATCAATGCCGATTCATGCGGCTTCTGATGCCCCCGAGCACCACTTTGTTGGCTCTCTGAATTATGACGATGTCACAATAACCCCAACGAATAGTTTGTCGATAAGTGAACAACTGAAAGTACGTAAACTGCACAAGAAACTTAAAAAACCGAAAGAGGGCAAAATGAAAAGGAAGAAAGATAAAAAAGACAAAGTCAGAAATAAAGTAAAATGCGACGAGAGGAATATGCTGAATGTCGATAAACCCAAAAGTCAAGACAAGAAGCAGAAAAGGGATAAAAAAAAGGAAAAACAGGTAATTATTTAAAATTCTTGCTAACCGAAAATTCACGGCCTTGCCTGTGCCAAGTTTTGCGCTTATAATTTTGTTTTCACCCATTTCCCAAATGTGACAAATTTAAATCGGTCCATATTCTATCTTGAGATCCACTTATATTTAAAAATATGTTTTAAGTCCTTCGACTAAAGAAAATTTGGAATCAATGGCTTATTTCATTTTAGTCTTGTGGTAAGAAAAATAAACTTTCGTTCATTAAACAATTGACCCGCATTTTCCATCCAACTGCAGTTGCAAATGTTTCACTATTAGCCCAAAAAATCCTTTAATCGCATTTTCCATCTGAGAAGTTTGGATTCTGCGAAAAAAAATTTGAAAAATTTCTCAAATGATTTTTCATAAATATCCTTGGATGGTAATTAAAGAGAATATTTTGAATTTAAAAATTTGATAAAAATATTTGTCAAAACAATGAATCATCTAGATATATATATTCATCGAGATAGAATATTAAAACATCCAGCAGAAAATAAAATAAGTTTTAAGGTCATGTTTGGATGATTTAAACTGATTTCAACATTCAATTGCAGGTGCCGCCAGACGAATTGCAGATTCCCAAAGAAAATCTGGAAAGCGGTATTCATCATACAAAAACCATGGCTTTAGGCGTCCCACCTGGAGACTCTTTGCCAGCAACTGTGTCCCAAACACCTGTGACACATCATTTGGTGTCACCCAAGTTAGATCTGTCACCTAACCAGGTGCCGAAGCTGACACTTAAGCTTAGTGGCACGCCCACTCAATCGTTATATGAGGGCGATCGTGAGATATCAACAATATCTGATTTGACGCCTCAGACTCCCAATCGGACTAAAAGGGAACATTCTCCAGAATTAGCTCGCTTCTCACCACTTGTCACTAGACCCCCAAAGCCCAAGCAATGTAGGCAATCAAATTTTCATCACATAAATACAAATGATGTTTAATTAATAGTGATCTTGTTTTAGGCGAATCACAAACCTTGAACTTACCTATGGCTACATCTGCTTTGGTTTCTGTGCCCAATACTAGTAAAACACAGACAATGCCAGCCATGATGTCGCTGCCGAATACACAGGCCCCAATCTTAAGTGCAACTTCACCCAGTTGGATGTCGAATCCTTCTTCTACATCCACAATATCAGCTAGTTCTGTTTTGTTGCCACAACAGTTACTGCATCCATCCAAACAGATCCCAAAAATGCCATCGTTGTCTGCCTCTTTGTCCACAACTATTCCCAGTGTGGCGGCATCAAGTAGTTCACCAAAACAACCTGAAGGATCTCAGACATTGCCTCCAAATTTGGAATTAAATCGACCCTCATCGTATGTTGATGCCGACGGCTATCGTATTTGGATTTGCCCCGCATGTGGAAAAGTTGATGACGGCTCTGCAATGATCGGATGCGATGGCTGCGATGCATGGTACCATTGGTAAGTTCTATACCCAAATATATATGTTTTGCGTTTATTGATAATAATCGTTTTATGATTTAGGACTTGTGTGGGTATACTTGTTGCTCCAAATGACAATGAGGATTGGTTTTGTCGAGTTTGCATAACCAAAAAAAAGGTAAATGGATCAGATAAGAAAAAAAAGCGAACCAAAAAGAAATGAGTTTTTACTTCATAAAGTCAATAAATTATCACCAGCTTGTTTGAATTCATGCATTATTTATGAATCCCTTAAAGCATATATTCAAACTTTATTTTTTCATTTTTTTCCCTTTCAAATATGGAAAAATATAAATAAATATTGATATAATAAAAATGTTACTAAAATGTGTATAAATAAAAAACACTGAATGCAAAAGTTTCATTAATGTGCAAATAGGTTTTGATTATGCGAAAAACGGCTCAAATTAATTTTCACAAAAAAAGATCTTAGTAACCATTCCATACCAAAATTTCTCGCGGCGGTCTTCTTTTCCTTTTCCACGTAAAAGACCCGAAACTTTGCCAAATTTTTAATTATTATTTACAAAACACTTGTTTCAATGCATCATTAAAATACAAACACCACAGAAAATAAACATCGGCGGGTTAAACTAAAAGCAAAAATAGTGTTAGATCATAAGTACAAAAAGCATCGCAAAATAGTTGTTTAAGCAAAATATTTAATTTTAATGAATACGTTGAAAAAATTTTAAATTCATATAACTACAGAAAACCAATTTACAAGAGTTATTTCGGAAACATTTTTAAAATAACAATATTGAGATATACTAACAATAGGTTGTGTATAAAAATAATTTTTAAAAACAAATAAACAAACATGTGCGTAATGTTTAAGCTTGATTGGCTTAAAACTATCTAAGTACGATGGACGTGGCGAATTAAATTGAATTTTTGTCGTCGTGAATTACGTCGTCGTTTTGCAGTAACCAAATAGTATAAAGTAGCAATAGCTATATAACGCCGTCCGAGTGCACATATTTTGCATTAATGGACTAGGTGTTTTATGCCAGAGTACATATGTAGTTCATCATAAAATTTTGTGTTAGTTATGTGTGCGTAAACTTAGTTCGCTTGGCCGCTGAAACTACAATTTGGCGAAATTCTTTGGTGATTATTGATGTCGTTATGTGGGCTCAAGGGTTGTGCTGATTCATTCACAGACGATGTGCTTGAGGCTGAGAGTGGCGCTGCCGCCGCGGCTGGTTGAATGGGCGCGGTAGCTTCTGCCTCAGATTTAACACAGATTTTGCCATTACCATTGTCAGTAGATATATTCAGAGTGGGAGCTGAAGCACTGCTGTTGCTGCTAAGCGCCATTCGCTGCATTTGTCGGATTACAGTCGCAGCGTAATATGCTTGCTAAAATAGTGAGAAATATTAACAAAGCTAGTCAGGCGTAAAATTTAAAAGAAACTCACCTTCCATCGACTCTTGGCAAAGTTTTTCTTCAACTGCTCCGAAACAGTGCCATGAATGTTCTTGCTGCTGGCCTCATTTCCAGATATCCTAAAGGAAATATTTAAATTATATAATGTTACTAACTTAATTAGACTTATCGATTTTATTTGACTCACCAAGGATGTGCCAGTGCTTGTTTGCATGTATAGCGTTTTTCGACAGTGACACACATTAAATTTTTGATAAAATGCTTGGCCGACTCGCTTATTTCGTCCCAATATGGCGAATCGAATTCAAATTCACCTATAAATGACAAAAATATGATATGAAATATGAAATATACCAAGTTCGGTGTTCTACCTTTTCTTGAGATAATGTGAAAAGCATGTACAAAAAATGATACACTCGTTCTTCGCATGTTATACGAGAATATAAAATTTAAATTTTGAAGTTTCTTGCTATTGCAGTTTCTGAGATTGAAGCGACGCATTCGGTCGCAAGCGGACTGACGGGTCGGGTCAAAAGGTCAAATGGAATAGATCGATTGAAACAAACAAACCTTTAAGAATTTGTGCAAATAAATTGGCGTCGTTTTCATCGTAAAATGGAGGATATCCACAAAGGAGTATATAGGATATAACGCCTATGCTCCAAACGTCAACAGCCTTGCCATATGGCTTCTGGGCCAGCACCTCTGGCGCAACATACCCTGGAGTTCCGCATGCAGTTGCCATGATACCAGAATCTTCCATTTTCGATAAGCCAAAATCGCTTATCATTATTTTACTGTCATCATCTGGACTATAGTATAGTAGGTTTTCCGGCTGCATTGAATTCAAAATTTGAATTTATTTGTATCAAGAAGTAAGACATGTTATTTACTTTGAGATCCCTATGTACTACTCCCTGCTCATGCATATAGTCTACAGCCTCTAAGATTTGTCTAATTAAGTGAGATGCATCCTTCTCTGTGTAGGATCCCTTCTCAACTATGCGGTCGAACAATTCTCCACCTGTCACTCTATATATATATGGAAACAATACAGTTAATTATACTATATCAGTTAATAATACAAGCTAAGTGCAAAGCATACAATTCCATGACCAGATACACCTTAGCCTTGTCTTCGTATGTTTCAAGAAGTTGCACTATATTCGGATGAGTCAGCCTGTAAATAGAATATGCCGAGAATTAATTCATTAAAAAAAAAAAAAACAGAAATCCATTGGCGCTTAAAAATACGAAATATATATATCTTAAGATTTGACAAGGGTTTACACATTGTACTGCTAATTTCTCATAATTCTCTTGATTGGACCCTACTTGCGTTGTGTATGCAAATAATAAATTTCGCAGCGAATGGAGTTGGCCGAAATATAAATCGCCGACTAATTCAAGATATACACTTAAATCTCATTTGATTCCAAGACGGGAAAGTTTTCGGGGTCACAACTCACCGCGTTCCATTCGGACTGTTGCCATCGAAATGATTTGCACTAAACCTACATAGAAAGAAAGTAGATTAAACGAAGAAAATGTTTAAAAAATGAAATAAAAAAAACAACACAAAGTAAAATAAAGATATTTCTAGTTTTACAATTTATATGCAAACAATAAGATTGTGCGCCTTAAAGTCCACATTCTCGTGCTATGCCCTTGATAAGTTACGCGTTTTCATAACTCATAAGTACATTGTATACTCTGGATCCATAATTTTTGAGGGCTCCGCTACTGAGCATGCAAACATAAGCAGAAATATAATATTTATTATATAATAAACAAAAATTAAAAACAATATCAATAGATAGAAATTACATGACTACGCTAGCTGGATGTAAGTCTCAGTATTAAATTGTTTGGCAATGATAAAGACCTTAACATTTTTTATTCTTGAGCAAAATATTTCTCGGGCTTTGAATATACATTGAAAATATTTTTTGCGCCTTTTAAATCTCAAATTAACTATTACATAGATATTTGCAAGTAAGTTTCATTGAATTTAGAACCTGAAATGTTGGAATCAGCGCCTTTCGCTCTGGATTCGAATATAAACTTTCCGTTCATAGTAGCTTTGACTCGCATTTTTCCACCAAGTGGGGTGAATTTTCCGAAAAATTCTAAAACAATATGATTGAAAATAAATTCGAAGCGAATCGGATGATAAAGGAAAAAGCTTCATGTAGTGGAATTTGCCGGGACCCCTTCTTAACGTGCACCTTTATCTTATAATGTACTTACAAAAAATCCCAACACTCTGAACTGAGTACATTATGCCCAAAAAAAAAAGCATTATACGGACAAACCAGTTGTTTTGCTTAAATATATTTAATATGTTTTGATATAATTAAACTCACCTTCTCAGTACGCGTATTTCATTTTCTAGCGATTCCTCTTTGCCCTTTAGAGCTTTCTTATCAATGATTTTTACCGCAAAATGATCGCCCGGCGTATCTTTACTTTCGGCTAAGCGCACCTCCGAGAATGCGCCCCTATTATTCGGAATAATATTAATAGAAATAAAGTACACATCGCTTATAAATAAGTACTACTCACGTTCCCAAGAGCCCATGGAGATTGTACTTTTCATCAATTGACATCTGTTTGTTCAGCTCCTTCGTATCCTTGGTTTTGGGCTTTTTGCCAGAATCTTTTTTGCCAAACAGTGGCATAGCTTTCAATTTGATTCAATCAAAATACCATCGAAAGTTTTGAACAATTAGTACATTTATAATGCGAAAATTCGTTGGAAGCAGACGTCTCCCGCTAAGTGTGAAACAATCAGAAAGTTAACAATTAACACAACGTAAAATTATTTGTTTAAACCATTTGTGCAAATAATTTCAAAATATCATATTGTGATATATTTATATGGGTACATGGGCCTAGGTTTCTATTTGATATGTACCTAATTTCTGATTGGCATCCATTAAAAATGCCTTGATTTTGGGTCCCTTTCCGGGTCCCTTAAGCCGGAGTAAAGTAGACAAGCTACAAATTTCACCTACTTTGAAAAAATGTTCATTTTATATTTCTAAGAATCAAAATACATAGAACATATAGGATCTATTAGGAAATTTTCAGAGCGATTACGTGTTTAATAAATTAATTTCCTTATAATGTGTTCTTGTCCAAATCGCAAATGGAAAATCAATTAGTTTTGAAGGTTGGAGCCACAAATCCCATAGTCAAATTAAGTCTGTTCCATTTCAATGGGAAAGTCTGTTTCGCTTTACCGGGAATATCGCATACTCGATTCGATCCGTTTTCAATTCGCTTATTTAAATTTTTAAAACTTGCTTGCAGAGAGTATAACACTTTTGTCGATCAAAAAGTAGGTTCTAGTATAGAAAACTTTTTTGTTTTTCAAGATATCTTGACCAAACGGGGCACTTATTAGTTTTACTCTGAAATATATATACAAAATCCTATCAACATTGGACCACTATATCATATAGCTGTCATTGGAACAATCGGTCGAAAATTCATTTGTTGCATGGAAAACTTTTTTGTTTATTCACTAAGCCCACATTTATCATAATGCTGCCATAGGACCGATCGGTCCAAAGGTAGGTTCTTGCATGAAAAACTATGTTTTTCAAGATATCTTAACTATACTCGACATTAACTATTTTCCTTGCGCTTCCTAGATACGGACAAACCATTATGAGCATTATGAAAAGGTTGGGTCTGCAAGGGTATTAAATATTCGTCGTGCCAAAGATAGCCCTTCCTGTGTGGGTTAAACTACGAAAGATCCGGTGGTTTGGAAACTAAAACAGATTTGCACACGTATGCCAGATGTTTGTATACACACTCGTTCGACAAATTATCATGAATATTGGAAAAATGTATATAAAATTTATATAACCGCATAAGCGAGGTAGAACAATCATCTTGGAAATGCCGCAGATTTGATTTTTAGGCAAAATTCGACTGACACTTCGAAAACCAAATACCCTACATAATATCGAGAAGATATATTATAATGCCCGATTTTAATATGATCTCTCTAATATGTAGAAAGATTAGTGAAACTAATAAATGCCGAATTTGGTCAAGATTTGATACATACATATATTGTATATATATGATACCCTCCAAAATGATTGTCCTTAAACATCCATAGCTCCTTCAGATGCAGGGATAATTAGAGCGTCTTATCAAAAATTAAATATTTTTATTTGTTATTCTTAATCTGCTTCACACATTCGCTCACGTAAATGGATTGCGTGTATACATATATAGTAAATGAATAAATATGCAGTTATTTTTTTAAGAGTCAAAGGTGACAAAGGAGCTGATTAGGCTTTAATTTGTTCGCATTGTTCATAGCATGCACACATATACACACCTAATCACAGACTTAGTACATACATATGTATATTAAAAGTTCCGTTATGAGTGAAATGTGAGCAGACTGGTGTTCAAAAATCGTTGTATGTACGTACTGTTTTTGTATGTATCAACTGCAAAATGGAAATTTTTGTATGTTTAATTTAGTTCTTTTGAAATTTACAGTTATTATATTTTTTTAAAATTTGTAGTCTTTGTTTCTAAACATAATACACAAATGTTTATGCGTACATATGCGTGCACATACAGATATTTTAATGTAGTCTAATTTTTGTTTACATTTGTATGTTTTAAGTAAACAGCGTGATTATAAAAGTTTACAAATCTGTGTGCATTACTGTTAAGAGGTACGCGAAGTCTTGCGTAAAGTACGATCGATTTATTTTGCTAAACTTGAACTAATATATGAATGTGAACAGATACATACAAACATATATGTATGTAATATATACATATGTATGTACACTCGTCATGCATGTCGCGCTCAGCACTTCTGAGACCGCAATCTGTTAGGTTTATAAATGTATGTTATATATATACATTATATATATTTATATGTATGTATACAAAATATGTAAATATGTTTTTTTATAAAAATTATTATATATGATTTATTTGTGAACATGCGTAACAACTTACACAAATCACGGATTAGACTGTTGTATTAAACTCACAATTTTAATTTACGTTTCGCACCTTTTGAGTGAAATTTTACTCCGAGTTCGAATTTAGTTTATAAACGAGCAAACAATTTGCAAAAATAATGTAATGTGAATTATATTGATTTTTCAAGTCCGCGTAGATGCTTTTCTGCATATTCGACAAAGCAATGCTTGGTCACACTGTAATTGGAAAGCGGACGAACTTTGGAATTGGTAATTAAACGTTTTTAAATTGAAAGGGCTAGTTTGTACCTATATCTGCATTCAACATACTAAAACTGTTGAAAAATTCAATAATATTTTAAATATATTTTATATTATTTTTGACCACCTATTTTTTCATTTATACTATGCTCGCGTCTATGGCCACGTCCAAAAAACAAGAGACGCGCGTTATAGTTAATGCAACGAATTGACGTGTGTCAAATTAGCGACGGTGATATAGTATCGATTTTTGGAACTTGGGTCCGGAGCCGGAGTAACTCACATATAAATACATTTATTTACGTTTTTGAATAACACACCAATATAGATTTAAATACAGAGTTGTAACAACAAGAAATGATTTCCTGCTTGGATTCTTAAAAGCTACACATTTGACGCTGGCCTGATTTTGTCTAAATAAGTCGATTACCTATGAGTATCCTCATTTAATCCCAATTGCATGGTTCCCGCCCTTTGCTCTAATAAATTGTTCAACACTAAATGTAAGTATTTTAGTTCCGGAAGGAACTCACAATTCCATAGACGTTTTAACAAACTACTTGAGGTTGGCTTTCAATCAAATAATTTTCTCAAAATCTTTCCGATTGTCAGATGGACCTGTTTCAAATTATATCTTAATTAAATTGATGGCTCAAAGCAGAAACAATTGTCGAGTACTGATCGATAAAATGGTGTTTATAGCAACGAGCTATCGTTTGCATGCGGAATTTTGTAATGTTGGAAAACACAAGAAAGCGGTCTACTCAGCAATGTTGAAAAGTATCCAGTGTGGCAACACTGTCGCTTTTTTTTTTAGAGATTTATATGTACATATGCATATATGCATCAGCAAAAGTAAAAACAAATATAACTCAAGAACTTAAAATTAGGCGGTTATAAGTGATAAATCTAAAAAAGTAAACTTTATATTAAAATAAACTAGCAATTGGGCTGAAATTGCGAATGAGTCCATTAACACATACACCCCATACGTATGTATTTATTTACATATACATATAAAAATGTGTGTGTCGCGTGTGAATTTTTAGTATACAAAATTCCAATAAAAACTCAAGAACTATTTTGTCCGTGATAAGGTTAACATATATAGTAATCCGAAGTCAATTTGGAACTCAATAATTGAAAGTATAACTAGCAACTTAGTGGGAATAAGTCGTATTATACGTTCATACATACACATTAATGTTCATCTGTGCATATTCGTTTTTATAGATATGTGTGTAAGATTTCAATGGTATGTAGCCAATAATAAATGAAAACTAATTTTAAAAAAGAACTTTTAGGCTCATAGTGAGTTTTATTATATCTTCCCAGCAAAGATAGCAAATTAAAGTGTTTGGTCTAAATCACTAAATTTTTGGCTAACTTATAATTGTAAACAATCCAGGATTGATCATAAATCATAGAACCCTTGCAAAAGGTTTTATATTTTGTCTCGAAATATGTAACGCATGGAAGGAGATATCTCCGACAGCATAAAATATATGTATTCTTGATCGGTATCAGCAGCCGAGTCGATATAACCATTTCCATCTGTCTGTACTTATGCGAACTAGTCTCTCAGTTTTAAAGCTATCGTTAGGAAACTGCATAAATCCCTTTTTCTGTTTCACGCAGTACATATGTATGTCGGAACCGGTTGGATCGGTCCACTATATCATGCAGCTACCATAGCTAAGTAGGTTCTTGTATGAATAACTTTTTTGCTTTTCAATGTATCTTGAGCAGATTCGCCATTTATTAGTTTTACTGTGTTGCCTTAATCTATGCAACATCTAATTTACATCTGACTACTATATTATATAGCTTCCAGAGGAACGAAGGGTCGAAAATAAGTGTGACTTCCGCACGCGTTGAGTGTTAGGCTCTATATCACACAACACGGTTGGGATATATCCCAATATCAAATAAATTTCTAAATATATTAATATTCATATAATTTTGTTACCAACAGCACGCACTGCACGCTGTGTAAGTTGCAAGATATGCAAATATTTTTGAACGAAGATCGAGATGCATTCATTGGATTCGTTGCATCGAAAGCAGACTAAAAAAATTTCATAACTTGGATACGTTTTGCATAATCGTAACGAGGTGAACATATATTTGTAGGATACAGAGTGTCATAGAGTTTCATAAATAAGAAATGCAATCAAAGCACTACAGCTTCCGACTACACGATATAACAAAAAATTGTCATGATACGGATTTATCCAAAAATAAAGCCGCTTGCACACAATTTTCAGTGCAGATAAAACAGTCTCAAATGCCGAACCCGATGCCGCTGCAGTGCAATATTAGTGAGTCTCGACAGCTCAGTAAATTGTCAATTTTTCAGTTGATATGGATAATATGCATTGCATATCAATTAAATATTGCCAACGCTGATCAAGGTAAGTTATTTAAGAATTATCGAACGTCTAGTTCAAATCTGTTTTTATGAATTAGCTAACATCCATATTGTTTTTTTATTTGTAGTTGTTTTGTTGGACACAACAAGGGAGGCTACTCTAGAATGGACAAGATACCCATACGGTCCGCAGGCCCAAACCCCAGGCGTATGTATACAAATTTTTGTATCCCCTTAATAAATTATTTACCTGTTAAAGGGCCGTAAATGAGAAATTTTCGATTAAATAAAGTTTATATAAATGCTAATTTGAACACAGCAATTTCCAGTTCAATGTTGGTGCTAAAGAACAACAACAACAACAACAACAATATTAACATTACTTTGAGTGAGGCGCATACATTTAATTATGGCACAAGATATTCAGTGTGGCTTTTCGCTCTTTAAATATCTTCCGTACTGAGGTTTTTGGTAGAAAATCGGTATCGTTTATGCCAGAGTGAAATATTAACATCATTTATGTAGCTTTACATAATATTTACTTAATAGATTAGAGATTATTTGTTAAGTAACACTATTTTTAATAACACAAATTTTTATGTTCAACTCGAAAAATATTTTAAAGTTTATTTATGTGTTTTAATTCCAAAATTGGGGAATAATTTGAATCGGAACAAAGGTTTAATTACCTAGTGAAATAATACCAATATATTTTGTATGTTGTGCAAAATAATTTATTAAGTACAGCCCTTTTGATACGGATTTCTACAGACTAAAATTTCAGTACACAAAACATTTTAACATAAATTTGAGCTAAGCTATAATTTCGGGCTCTTTAAGTTGTGAGAGCGCAAGGGTTCCGATTTCGTTATTGTTTCCAAGTTCGTATTTTTATTGTCTTTGATTTGCTTCAATAACATCTATATCTTCATTATGAACTGCACCATCTTTCGGGCTATTTAAATTTAATCTAGGGCTTAAACTAATTAAAATGAATAAATATTAGAGCAATATATTTATGGTAGAAAATGCATTTCTGAGTTGGTGTAAAACACATTATATAAATTATATTTGCAATTCGGAAAACATGATTTAAATTTGTTATTTAAAATTGAGAAGGAAAAACAAACCATATATTAATCGTATTGCATTTCTATGTTGTTCTCTTGATTTAGTGGGTAGAGGAATCATTTACAGATTTTGTAAAAGGCATTAACTGGCGGAGTTATGTGGTTTGTGATGTTGCCTATCATAATGTTAACAATTGGCTTTGGTCGCCATTTATTGACCGTGGTCCTGCTAACCGGCTATATATAGAAATACAGTTTACGATTCGAGACTGTTCGCTATTTCCAGGTAAGTAATTTGTAATATTTTCTATTTTCAACAATTTGACAATATTTAATTTGTAGGAAATGCCTTGTCCTGCAAGGAAACGTTCAGTTTGTTATTCTACGAATTTGATGCAGCAACTCGAGAGCCTCCACCATGGCAAACTGACAGTTATAAACTTATCGCTAGAATCGCGGCTGGTGAAGGACGCTTTAATCAAAATTCAGATGTCGATATAAATACCGAAGTAAAGAGTATAGCTGTTAGCAAAAAGGGTGTTTATTTTGCGTTCCGCGACCAAGGCGCTTGCATAAGCGTCTTGGCAGTAAAAGTTTACTATATAACGTGTCCAGCTGTTACCGAGAACTTCGCCCATTTTAACGAGACACCCACCGGCCGAGAGATAACCATAATTGAGAAACAAAATGGAACATGTGTTGAGAACGCAGAGCCTTATGAGGCACCAACCTACCTATGTAAAGGGGATGGAAAATGGACTATTCTTACGGGCGGTTGCCGTTGCAAGGCCGGCTATGAGCCAAATGATGTTAATAACACTTGTACAGGTTAGTAGAACTGTTCAATCTATGCATGAAATAAAAATACACTTACACCTTATACATATATATATACTTCAGAGTGTTCGGCTGGGACATTTAGATCCGCAGAAGTACGTAAATGTGTGTCATGCCCCCCCAATTCAAATAGCTCCAAAACAGGATCACCGATGTGCAAGTGCATGCCAGGTTTCTATAGGCATCCTGCAGACGGAAGACATATGCCTTGTTATAGGCCGCCTGGAGCACCCATGAATCTCACCCTTTTATTTGTTGACCAAACAAGCGCAATAATATCATGGACAGCTCCCGCAAAAGAAGATGCGCTTTTAATAAATGGAGTAGAAAAATATCGCACTGATGTCGTATATAAAATACGTTGCAGTATGTGCAACGCGAATGTTATGTTCAATCCATCAACGGACACGTTTAATGAGACAAAAATAACACTCACTAATCTTGATCCGGTTACCACTTATACAGTACAAATTCATGCGACAAATGGCGTCTCGCATCTCGTAGAGAACGGAGCTTTTGCCAACGAAACGTATTTGAACAGCGAAACGCCGTTTGGTATTAATTCTAGTTTTTCTAACAGCAACACCTATCAACTAGATCTTAGCGAAATCAAAACAAATTATGCCGAAATTGTATTTACTACGGAGTCAGTTATGCTATCAACTGTGTTCAATTTAAGAGTAGTAGCTATTACTAACAAAGACGCCGACCTAATTTGGGATAAGCCCGGTCAAAGTGATGCTCCCGTGGAACTATATGAAGTGCGCTGGTTTCCCAAGTCCGAATTGGAAGCTATTAATAAAACAACATTAAGCACAAAGGAAACAAAAGCTCGAATCGATAATCTGATGGAAAATACTGAATACGGATTTCAAGTGCGTTGCAAAACAATCAATGGATTTGGGTCTTACAGCAATATGGTCTATGCCCAGACCCATCAATCTGTCGGTTCAGGTAATTTAATGACTGATGCTTATATTAATTTAATATTTTGCACACATAAATCTCTGACTTGACAATTCATTTATATTTAGTTTATGAGGATTCAATGCAAATACGATTTATTGCTGGAGCCATTGTGACGGGCGTTTTCTTCCTGGTGATTTTTATCGTTGCAACTGTATACTTCATGAGATCGAAACATCAAGACGAGCTCGATAAAAAGTCCACGAATCATCTGCCATTACCAATGGATTACGCTAGTAATGAAGGTAAGTTTGAACATTATCTAAATATTTTAATAGGACAACGTGTCTGAAATCTATAAATCATCGGAAAAGTATAGTCTAAAGCAAGAGATTTAACTTGTTATACACTCCATCTATTGGAATTGGAAAAAAGGCTTCATTGCATTTTATAGAATCCTTTCCGATTATGGAAAATGGCTTCCATTAAGTGAAAAATCTCCAGTAATTAATTGCTTAAACTTGCTTAATCTTAATACAAGTCCTTAATTTGATGATGGACAGACGCTTGATATAAAACTAATTAACTCAAGATATAGATATTTGCTTAAATTCTTTGGAGGTGTGAAATCCATTTTTCCTTTTTTGGAAAGAAGTTCAAAGATGTGGTGCGTAAAGTTTCGAATTCGAATTAAGTGTTTCACACTTTACGCTGTATTCAAGCTTCCATAAATAAAACATCGAATATAGTAATTTATATTTCACTAGCGGGTATAGCCCGGCCTTGCCCGTGGCACTTATGTTATCAAATCAATGTTCTCGAATAGCTTTGAAAATGATTTTGAAACTGAGCGGGCAGTAAACAAACTACTCTCATACAAACATTTTCCGTCATTTTACCACTATTTCGAGTGGAATTTCCCAAATCGTTAAAACACGTATTCATTATCTCCATATATAAAACTGTTTGTCCTGACTGACTGACTGACTGACTGACTGAGCTATTCGAGAACATTGATTTTATAACATAAGTGCCACGGGACAGGTCGGGCTATACCCGCTAGTATTCTTATATAGAGCTTTGAAAATAAGTTTGATGCAAATCGGACACAACTTAAAACTCTCAAAAAATTACTTTAAAATTCATTTTTCATGTAGAGCTTTGAAAATTAATATGAGCGCGAAACGTCATCCACCAAATATTTGACCCCCATTTCTACCAAGGAGGAGTACATTATTGGAAAAGTGCGAAACACCCCTCAAATGAATTTGAGCAAAGATCTTTGAAATTTAGTTTGTGGCCAGTAGGATGGTAAACAAAAAGGTTTCATACAAACGTTTTCGCGATTTTTCTATACTTACGGGTGGAATTTCCCGAAACCCCGTCTTAACGTCTACCTTACGATTTGGGATGTTGCTTTGTTCACCAATCAGTCAGTCCGGACAAACCGTTTTATATATAGAGATTATCAATTTGTTGAGTATAAAAATTAATTTAAATATTGGGGGCAAAAAAATATTGATGCGGTGTTTCAGATTCCATTTGATTATTTCCTGTAAGTTGTGTGTAAGCTTAAGATTCTCTCCTCTTTGAAGAAATAAAATGAATACAATAATCACATGCTAATTGTTTATATCCCTATCCATTATTACCAACCCCGATCTCATTTTAAGGACTCGTTGTGACATATAGTAAGTTTTTGTTTAACTCTTTATTCCACAAAGTATATACAATTTATAAAATTTGTAAATAATACAAACATATCCAATTTTGTACATACATGAGAAAATACGAACATCCATAAATAAGTTTACTTAATTTATACCCGAATGCGTTTAAATTAATGGAAATAATTTATTTACTCTTTGCCACAAAGTAGAACTCTTTAATTGAATACAGATTATTGTTTCCGCTGGTCAGACAGAGGTTATCAAATTTCTGGACATATCAGTTTTTGCTTATTGTTATTTAAATATAATTTTGTTCAACCTGTGATCAATATGTTTTTATCTTTACTTTTAGTAAATGCCATGGATACAACTCCAATTGTCAAGACTCTACATTCAAATGGTATATAATTTGTTTATTTTCGTTCACATTTTGATTTTATGGTGTGGGTTAACCTTAAAGGTTTCTAAAGTAACCAATTTAACTGAAACCAAAATCGACTTTTTTATATTTACATCCATATATTGATATTGTTATTATATTTATAAGAAATGTTTTTATTTATACGTTATATACTTACGTTGCTTGTCATACGTATGCATACTTTTTGCAAATCATTGTCGCTTAATTCTTTCAATTTCCTGTTCTTGCTTTTCCAGTGACGACCCCCTTATTTGGGAGCAGCCGGAGCTACGTGGATCCTCACACCTATGAGGATCCCAACCAGGCAATAAGGGAATTTGCTCGTGAAATTGATGCAAATTATATTACAATTGAAGCAATAATTGGTAAATACTACCTTGCACTATTTTTAGATACATTCTTCAATACAAATCTTTGAAACTATGACTTTTAAGGTGGCGGAGAATTCGGTGATGTGTGTCGCGGTCGGCTCAAAATTCCACCAAACTTCGTCCAGGACATTGACGTGGCAATCAAGACATTGAAACCGGGTACGATTCCAATTTTCATAGCTCTGAAAACAAAATTCAAAAATATGTTTAATCAGTTTTACGGCGCTAAAAGCCCAACGGTTGACCTCATAATGTAAATACATATATATTCTTTATCAGGGCGACGTGCTGAGTCGAAATAAGCTAGAGTTCGCCAATAGCCTCTGTCCACTGAACACATTTCAGAAAATGTCATATTTTCGACTAATGTGTGAAATGCGCTCTGTGCGTGTCCCCATAAGAAAACACACTTCACGCACATTTTTTTCAGAAATGTGCAAATTCGCCCCGAACATTTCTTGTTTTTTGCGATGATTAATCGAGATTTCTATCGACGTTATAAAAAAATGGTAAAGTAACGTAATCATAAACAGCTGATATTTCAACATGGCAAAATCTAGAAAAGAGTACCTAAAATAGAGCCCTTACTTCGAGACCGCAATTGTTGAGTTTTGGAAGAAAACCTTAACGGCGCCTTTGTAACTGGTCCAATGGTTAAAGAAATGTCACATTTTCAAATTTCACATATTAGTGTTCCACCGGTTGTCGGTAACATGTGAGTGGCAAAAGAACCGCTTCTTAGAATAAACAGCTGATCGAGTTTCTTTAATTTACATAAGCGCCGTAAAGTTCTTCTTCCAAATCTCAAAAATTGTGCTCTCGAAGCAAGGGCTCCATTTTAGGTACTCTTTTCCAGATTTCGCTATGTTTAAATTCTAAAATCTGTGGGCTTACTCTAATTCTAAATTTCTTATTTAATGTTGCCGCTTGCCTTCGTTGATATATCAGCTTTTTATGTTTACGATACTTTATCATTTTTCACAACATCGAAAGAATTCTCGATTAATCATCGCAAAAAACACGATATGTTCGGGGCGAATTTACACATTTCTGAAAAATTTGCCTTTTTTTAAAGATATGTGAAATGTCTTTTCTTATGGGGAAATGCACAGGGCGCATTTCACACATTTGTCAAAAATGTGACATTTCAGGAAATGTGCCAGAAATGTATTCAGTGGACAGAGGCTATAAAACAAAGAAACTCGATTAGCTGTTTTTAAAGAACACCACCGGTGGAACACCAATATGTGAAATTTGAAAATGTGACATTTCTTAAACCAGTGGACAGTGGCTATAAGAGTTCATTGTGACTATTATGTATTATCTATAGCATTTCCACCTTTCGCAGGGTCTTCGGAGAAAGCTCGATGTGATTTCCTAACGGAGGCCTCGATAATGGGACAGTTCGATCATCCCAACGTTATTTACCTTCAAGGTGTGGTTACGCGCTCCAACCCAGTCATGATTATAACCGAATATATGGAAAACGGCAGCCTGGATACATTTTTGCGCGTCAACGATGGAAAATTTCAAACGCTACAGCTTATTGTGATGCTGCGTGGCATTGCCAGCGGAATGTCATATCTGAGCGATATGAATTATGTTCACCGCGATTTGGCGGCTCGAAACGTGCTAGTCAATGCCCAATTGATTTGCAAAATTGCCGATTTTGGTCTGTCGCGCGAAATCGAAAATGCCAGTGACGCCTATACGACTCGGGTAAGCTTTAATAAATATTAAATGTGTTTCTTCAATAGATGCAATTCGATCAAACTAATATGAAGCCCAATTTCTAGTTTTGTGTTGAAATGTATATGGGAGACATCTTCCCCATAAAGTATATATAACTTTGATCACTATCAAAACCCTAAACGATTAACCCATGTCTGTCAGTTCGTTTATCCGTTAGCAAACTAGTCTAATATATAAGCCATTTACTTTGAACATCCGACTACAATACAATATATTGAAATTTGGTCAAAGAGCAGACTTTCGGCTTTCCGTTAACTATAATGTGAAGAGCACAATATATTTTCAGTTTATTTGCATTGTTTATTTTTATGGTTTCAATTTCAATTGCGACACTGTCTCTTGCAGGGTGGCAAAATTCCAGTACGCTGGACAGCGCCGGAAGCAATAGCTTTTCGAAAATTTACCTCAGCATCGGACGTTTGGTCTTATGGTGTTGTCTTATGGGAGGTTATGTCATATGGAGAGCGTCCTTATTGGAACTGGTCAAATCAGGTATGTACTCTATATCGCGAGTGAAAATGAAAAATATATACAAATGTGATTCTTTTCATAGGATGTTATAAAGAGTATTGAGAAGGGCTATCGGTTGCCAGCCCCGATGGATTGCCCCGAGGCTCTGTATCAGCTGATGTTGGATTGCTGGCAGAAGCAGAGGACACATCGGCCATCATTTGCCAGTATTGTCTCGACACTGGATAATTTGGCCAGGCAGCCGCAATCTCTGTTAACGACCCGAAATTCACCAGAAAATGATAGTTCACATATTTTGGATACCCAACGAGGTCATAACATTTTCATTAGTACTGATCTATGGCTAGAAAATATTAAAATGTCAAGATACAGTCAACACTTTAGAGAGGCTAATTTAGTGAGTGCTCAACAGGTATGTGTTTACTCTCAACACCCTTATTAAACTGAAACTTTAAGGTAAGTTTGGTTTTATGTTTATAGATCTCAAGATTAACAGCTCAACTGCTATCGGATATGGGTATAACTTTGGTAGGACATCAAAAGAAGATTTTACACCAAGCGCGGCAGCTGGATACAATAATTTAAGCAGTTTATTTTTTAAGATATGTCCATAAGTTAATGTATAAATTGCGTTTATGCTATGTTGCGAAATCAACGACCAAGTCGAAATAAACGAATCGACTTGGCTGAAAACGATATAAAGTAGCTTATTACAAAGAAGTAAAATAGTAATGTTTATGCTCGCATTTAACACTCGGTTTGAGAAAACGCAATTTTCAAAAAAAACAGAGCATAGCATGAGCGCAGCAATTTCATACCAACAACCCATAAAGTTGTTTTACACACAAACGTGAACGAGACACAAGAAAATACAATTTACATAATATAAGGTACATTTTGTAGTTTACTAAAATGTAAGTACATATATATATATAAATATAAACACAAGGATAGACATGCAGGCCTGCTAAAGCAATTTTATACTTATTTATATTTTATATATGTAAGTGAGAATATCAGGTTAGCTTCCGTTTTCACTTGTAATTAATATTCTCAAGAATTCGTGGTTTACTTGCGCTTTTGCAAACATTTACTTTATTATTATTATTTTGTATATGTGTATGGGTATATGTATATGCAAGGTTCTGACAAAATTACAAAAATCGAAGTATAAATAATCTAGTAATTTACAAAATGTGTTAAATATATATAAACTGAAGAAATATACATACAAATAGAAATATACAAACAAACAGACAGATGCATATGCCTTTTAAAACTTGAGGCTGAAATCAATTTGATTCGTTTAAGCATTAACAATTGTATACATTGAGCATATACACACATGTATATACATATATATACAACTTATCGAATAATTTTGCACACATATTTTATAACCGACAAATGTTTTATTATATACATCACGTACGAGTACATAATTAATTTTAAATAATATCTCTTGGTCCCAGAGTGGAAAACTGCCCTATATATAACATTATATACCTAGGTACTTATATTAAATAGCGAAAGCATTGCATTTATCGTAGGTTGATTATATCTTGAAATTTGGACTTTAACAAGTATTATTTATACATTGCATACCCATGTAATTTATTTGTAGCACCATTCATTTTATATAGTTCACAAAACTTGAACCGAAAATCCAATAAAACGAACACTAAAGATCAATTCGAATTTGATTAATATCTTTGCTTAAATGTAATTTTATAGCAGGGCCGTGTGAAGCCCCTTTCCAGCAAATCTGGAAGCATTTAATGGTACATCGAATCATTATTCTCCTTTTTTTTATTTTTTTATTTTGTCGAGATTTGATATTAAATAAAACGAATGAAATAAAATATCTGGCCTCTCACTATTTAGAATATACCTAACACTAAATTATCGGTAGCATAATTCGTCCCGCAACATCACCGTCCCCGTGACGTCGAGGCACTCATCTAGTCCAGCGTAGAGCTACTCGACTAGGTCGCCCCGCCAGTTCCAGCGTGGCGCGGATCGTTGGCAAATAAACACTACATCAGCAGTAAATAGGTATTCATTTTTATGATACAATTTGTAACATAATTAATATGCATTTTTTTCAGATGCTAATCAACTCTTGCGCTGGGCGATGAGAATACAACTAGAAAAAAATTCCCTTCTTTCAGAGCTTCTCGAATGCAGTCTGTCTGTCGAGGTATCCGTATGCATGAACGCAAGGATCTCAGAATGTTTAAGAGCCAGAGTCATTCAGTCAGGAAAAAAATACAAATATTTTATACAAGGGATATTATATATGTGTGTATGTATGTATAAATTAATATTTAAATAAAAGGTCCTCGCGGATTTTCGTTATAGGACTTTATTTTGGTTATTTGATTATTTAAGAAACACAAAATCAATTAATTAATTATGGTTTACAAAACACTAGGCCGATACGCCGTAGTGAGTGAGTTAATTTAAGCGCGAAGTCCCTGGGCCGATATGGCTCAGTGAAAGCTGAATTAAAAACTAACTTTACAAAAGATTGTTCAAAATTACCTAAGCTATTGTGTGCTTTTCACAACGGCCGCTAGAATGCTTAGCTTGCGCCTCGTGCGCTGCCGTCGTGCAAGAATATCCGGCCCAGAGCTATGTCAACATATGTGGCTGGTGTTATATTGCATTTTGCTGACCACTGTTAACTCGTAAGAACATCCGGCCCAGTGCTATATCAGCATCTGGAGCTGGTGTCGTTGGCCTCTGTTATATATATATATATATATATATATATATGGCGTGTGTATATGTGTGTGTGTGTGTGTGTTAGTGTATGCAGTTATGCATACCGGCCTTGCCCGTGCACGCATAAAGTAAATGTTCTCAAAAAGCTTCGATCATTATTTTGAAACTGATCGGACGATAAATAAACAACTTTAAAACAAACATTTTCCGCGAATTTACTACTGTTGCAAGTGGATTTCCCAAATTATAACACGTATTCATTAAATTTTTATGTAAAAAAACTTAAATTTGCACTGAAAAAATCTTTGAATCAGCAAAAAATGTGTAAGCGAAACGTCATCACCCCATTTCCACCAAGGAGGAAGTCATTTTTGGAAAAGTGTAAAGCACTCCTCAAATGGATTTGAACAAAGAAGAACCTTGAAATTGAGTTTGAGGCGGATCGGATGGTAAACAAAAATGTTTCATTCAAACTTTTACGCGATTTTTCCATACTTGCAAGTTAAATTTCTCGAAACCCCGTCTTAACGTACACCTTCATCACATAAGGGAACTACAGTGAAAATTTCAACTTCCTAGCTCTTTCGGTTTGGGCTGTGCGTTGTCACCAAACATGATTGTTTTCTAATACCAAACGCAGAACAAGCTTATTTGTCGCTGTGCTACAAATTTAAATAAAACGGATTTCTACACAGTGCTCTCCTCGTTGATTCATTCTCCTCAAGAATTCAAGTAGGCTTTGTTGAAATTTAACAAGGCAGGAAACTTTGGCTCCAAAGGCGTGTGGAGAAGTCATTGGCGCAGGAGGTGGAGGGGGTGTGTATGTATGTACACATGTATGTATGTATGCATGCAAATATTTATGTATGCAACAAAACATGTATATATGAATATCTATGTATGCAGCGTATATGAATATAGGTATCCGCACATATATATGTACGTAATCATGCATGTACGTATGTATGTACGTATTTATGTATAAACACGCTTACATATAAGTATATTCCAACTTCAAACTTAGCTCAAAAAATCTTTAAACGGAATTTCTCCAGAGGAAGCTTACATTCTGCGAAGAACGTGATATTTGGCAATATTTACCAATCAGTCAGTCAGGTCAGTTTTATACTTATGTATATGGAGATGAATGTATTTTGTTAGTTATGGCATGGAACAATTTAAATATGATTCAAAATTATTTTTAGAGATGGGATTTGACAATCCAATTTTTGTTTAATTAGCTGTGCTTCACATACTTTACAAATTTGTTTTCAAATAAGTCGCATTTCAAATCGGATAAAACAACGGCAATTGATGATAATTGAGCACATGGTAAATATTATTGTAGTAAGGTTTAGTTAGATTACATTTAAAAGCGTCAAATCCGAAACCAACGGCTGCAATCCCTCGTCCTTTTTTGGCGAGGCGTTGTGCTTTGATGCAGCTCCAAGTGCCTTAAGCAATCTCTGGTAAGGAAGCAGACGATTTCAGTCATTAATAAAGCCAAAAGTAACAAAACGTACATTTCTTTTTGGCTAGCTCACATATCCAGAGAAAATCCAAGGAGCCCTTTAAATGGTCCGTTGCTATCATCTTTGTTTGATGATCTATTCGTCAGCTCTGCTATTACTCCACCGGCTTTACCGATTAGTTATATGAGGTGCTTTCTTTGTGATCTCCAATTCGGCAGCAGATGATATGGCAACTCTGGTAGGTCAGCTCGATTTGGCAGCTACTGATTTGTTGTTGGTCATAATGGAAAAAATTACTCCCGGCTGCAATAATTGCAAGAAGTATGTTGAAATACAGTTTGTTATACACACAGAACTTATTTAAGAAGCAAACAAAACTCTTGCAATGTTGTCACTTCCGTCAAGTTTTAATCAAATCCAAATTTTCATGTATATACGGTATAAATAAATTAAATACCTCTGAAGGAACACTTGATATTTCTAATAGGGTTTTTATACGATTATTATTATTATATATTATATTATTGACTTACATACATAAAATGATAATAATTAAAACGTGACAACTCTGCTGAAGTTATAGTTATTTGAAAAATACTCAACTACAGAAATAAAATCGATTAGTATTTTTTATTTTGCTTTCCTTGTTTTATTCTTATACTTCCTTGAGTAATTTTGCATTGGCCGCTTATGGTCACACAGATTCGCAGAAAAAGAGTGAGCGAGAGCAACGTATCGGCACAAGTGCGTTTTAAAATAGGTAAAAATTCAAATTAAATGAAAATGTGTAATATATTTTGAGTTTCTACATATAATTTTATTAGTATATTGTGGGTGTGTTATGGTACTAAAGTAAGAACGCTATAAAGCGCGTAGACACGACATGGATAACTAAAGTCTTACACATGTACATATATACATAAAAATGTATGCATCTGTTTGTCTTTTTTATGTCTGTAAGTTAGAAAGAAATAGCTATAGCTCCTACAAAGAGTTGCCACGTTTTAGGTATTTTATATAAGACAATAATGAAAAAAGTGTAAATAATTCAAAATGTCTGCATTTACATTGAAATTATCAAGTAGTTGTCCAGATATTTGTAAAGAATTCGCAAACTTTTAGTGTGCTATATATGAACAGTGTTTATAAAATTTGGTTTGAATAAAACCTGGCTAGGTGGCAACATTGCGGGAGCAGCCATTTATACAGATAAATTTTCCCGTCCCATTGAACGTGTGGAGTGATAAATTGTTTCACCAGAAAGTAATTATTTGCTTAAACCCGCTTGGTATATTAATTTTTTATAACGAATGTGAAAACACTAAAGATCAATATGCAGTGTAACTATTTTTTTTCCGGGATTTTCGGACATTGTGTAAAGCAAGAATTTAATTTGGCATACAGATGTTCATGAAAACCTAAATACATACACACATACTTTGTGAAATCGTCGAAGTGGCTTGGCTTTTAGAAACATACATACATTCATGTGTTTGTATGTATCTGCCTTTAGACATATCTGTGCAGAAAATTTAATTTTAATCGATTTATTTATGTTCAGAAAACAGGATAAAAGCAATTTAAGGCTTTATTTTTGTCAAATCTTGTATGTTGCATGTTAATATTTTTAGGTGAATGTACATTTATTAATACAACGATGTAAAATTTAACTATGCACATGTTGACCTATCGAAACATCAATGTACATTATTAATAAATAAAATACATGCAAACTTGAAATGCCTTCTAGATGCTCCGCATATAAGTTGTGTATGTGTATGAAAATCTGTATAAGTTCATGTGTATATAGTATAGAATATTTGTTGATTCGTCGTGCGTATGAGTGTGTTTTTATGTATCTGCAAATGTGTGAGTGAACAAAAGTACAGAGTTAAATAGGGTGATTGCGTCAATGACTACTGACCAGAGTTGTCAAGTATGTTTATATACACGGGCACACACACACACATCTTTATCCGTATATGTATACATTTTTCATTAACTGTAAAATGTATCTCAAATCTAAATAATAATATAATCAACATTGAAGCAAATTAAGTGGATAAAAAATTTGTGTCTTCGTACGGAGACTATGTTGTTAATCAATTTTATTAAGATATTTAAATAAATATGTGTACCTTTCACGAGAAATTTGCTTACCCTTTCGACACACACACTTATACAGACAGGTAATAATTACCTTTTGAGCAATTCGATTTTCATAAAATATACCTAAATCGCATCGTCTATGAATCTTTGTAATACTTTCGAATTTAATTATTAGTCTACATTAATATTGATACCGTTTTTCGTAGGCAATATATAAACAACAATCATAAATAGAGGAAGTTTTCGGAATATACGATAAGTGAAATATCGTTCTTAAAAAAGAGCAAGAACAGTTTAACCATTGAAAACAAGATTATTACCAATAGCCGTAAGAGTTCATTTAATGACAATGACGATGGCGGCAAAGTCGATGAAGGACTAGTCGGAACTGGAAATAGGAATGCGCCAAAAGCTAGTGCAGCTAAACATCAATTGAAACAGTTGTACACGATGCGCGAGGCGCTTTTCTCTCAGGATGGCTGGGGATGCCAGCACGTTAATCAGGATACCAATTGGGAGGTGCCCAGCTCACCAGAGCCGGCCAATAAGGACCCATCGGGGGGGCCGCTAATGTGGAAGCCAAACATTAACAATGGCACCGATTTGTGGGAATCGAATTTAAGAAACGGCGGTCAGCCACCCGCTCAACAAGTGCCAAAGCCATCTTGGGGGCATACGCCTTCATCAAATTTGGGCGGAACTTGGGGCGAGGACGATGATGGCGCCGATAGCACCAGCGTTTGGACGGGTCAGTCATCCAATAGCACAACGTCTGGTGTTGCAGTCGGTGCCAATGCGCCTGGCGTTGGCGCCGCTGCTGGTCCCCAATGGGGACAGGCTGTTGCTGTTGGTGTTGGAGTCGGAGTTGCCTTAAACTCGACTGGAAATAACAATGCGCCGGCAACAGGAGCCCTGCCTGCCGTGGCTCCCGTATGTAAGTAATATCAATTATTTTCACTTATTCTCAGGCAAATTCTCATATCTCTATTTTAAAATTTATCGAAAAAAAAAATGTTTTCTTCACTCGATTTGTATGCCCTGTAACTGGGCTATAAAGGGTATATTTGTTTTGGTGCGGAAGAAACATGTCGGACTCCATAATCAACATCCAAATCGGAAACGATCTAGCCCTCTTAATATATACTACATAGATATCTCGGTATTAATAAGATCTAGAAATTTCACAAGGTTCTAGTGTAGTTTATACAAATTCCAAAGATCTTTTATATCTTTTTATACCCTTGCAGAGGGTATTATAATTTTGTCGTGAAATGTGTAACGCATAGAAGGAGACATCTCCGACCCCATTAAGTATATATATTCTTAATCAGCATTAACAGCCGAGCCGATATAGCCATGTCCGTCTGTCCGTCCGTCCGTCTGTCTGTTTTTATGCGAACTAGTCCCTCAGTTTTAAAGCTATCTTAATGAAACTTTGCAGAGCTCCCTCTTTCTGTTGCACGCAGCACATATGTGAAAACCAGCTGGATCGGACCACTATATCATATAGCTGCCATAGGAACGATCGGTCGAAAATTAAGTTGTATGAAAAATCGGCATTTACTATTTTCCCGGTACTTCTTAGATAGGGGCAAAGCACTATGAGCATTATGAAAAGGTTGGGTCTGCAAGGGTATTAGATCTTTGGCGTGCCAAAGATAGCCCTTCTTTCTCGTTTATATTTTTCATTGTTGGCTATCTGTTGTGATTGGATGCATTTTGAAACCTTGTCTCATATATAGGTGGAAATAGTGGCAACAATTTGGCTGTAAGTGGAACGGTTGGTGGAGCTGGCGGCAGTGTTGGCGGCAGTACTGGCAATGGTTGGGGTGATCCTCGAGATATGCGCCCGCTGGCTGGAGCCGGTCCCATGGACATCCGAAACGTCGATCCGCGTGAACCAATTACAATGCGTGGTGTTGGCGCACCAACAGGAGATCCGCGTGACTTGCGCATGATTGATCCTCGGGATCCGATACGTGGTGATCCGCGTGGCATATCTGGTCGACTAAATGGCACGTCCGAAATGTGGGGACATCATCCTCAGATTGCTCACAATCAGATTCAGAATATTAACAAAATGGTCGGCCCCGTTGTTAGTGCAACAGGGTCAAATATCGCAAGCTCAAATATTGGCCCAAGCGGTGTTGGTTCCGTATCCGGTAATGTCGGGGCACAATGGGGAGCCACACAGGCCGTCGTTGGTGGCCCCAAGGATATTTCCAAGCAAATCACTGGATGGGAGGAACCCTCACCCCCACCACAACGTCGCAATATTCCCAATTATGATGACGGTACCTCTCTGTGGGGACAACAATCGCGCTTACCTGGAAGCGGTGCCCACTGGAAGGACATGACAGACTCAATGAGCCGGAGTCACTTAATGAGAGCCCAAAATCCAACGGGTAACATCGTCGGCAGCGGTATCGTTGGCAATAGCAATGTTCCAGTCGGCGGAAATCCCAATAATTCAATGGGCGGTGGTGGTGTTGTTGGGCCTCAGTCTCGCCTGGCAAACACTCCTGGACCCGGCGGAGTTGTTGGCGGCCAGCACGGCAAACCTGATGCCGGTGCCATGTGGGTACATTCTAATAATAGCGGCGGCGGCGTCGGTGGCGGTCGAAATGCTCAAGTAAGCTCTTGGGGCGATGATAGTCACAATGTTGGCGTTGTTGGCGGAACCGCCTTGTCAGGCAACAACTGGGTCGATGATAAACAGAGCACTTCACTTGCACAAATTGGAGCAAATGCCAACTCGTGGAGTGATTCACCTTCGGGTGGCGGCGGTGGCGGCGGCTGGGGGGGCAATAAACAGAGTAAATTGCCGGCAGCAGGCGGCGCATCCTCTGGTTGGAGCAACGCGAACACAGTTGGAAGCAATGTGGAAAGCGGCGATTTGTCATCGGATTGGCCACATGGTGGCATTGTTGGAAAATCCCAGCAACAGCAGCAGCAGCAAAAAATCGCTGGCATTAATGTTGGTGTTGGCATCCTTAACACAGATATGGTTAAGCAAAGCAAGCAATATAGACTATTGGTTGAGAACGGCTTCAAAAAGGAGGACGTCGAAAGAGCATTACTGAGTACCAACATGAATATTGAGGAGGCAGCCGAAATGCTCCGGGCAAATCCCAATTCGTCTCTGGCAATGGAAGGTTGGCGCCGTCACGAAGAGGTACTTGGTTCCTACGCTGATCACTCGAATACGACAAATACGGGCGGATTCCCACAACGTTATCCCGTTGGCAGCGCACAGCCATCGATGTCATTCCCTCCGGTAAACAGCTCTCTTTTAATATTTATCAGCATTTGCCAGTTTTTTATTTAAAATCGCGTTTTTTATTGCAGAACAACCTAATGACCAATATGAGCGGTACACCTGGCAATAACCCGAATATGGCTGTTCTTCAGGTTCAAAAATATTTGAATCAAGGTGGGCCGCACAACGTTGCAATCGGTGGACCACAGTCGTTAAATGCGAATGCATCGGTTGCATTTTGCCAGAACGCATCGAGTCCTGCCCCGGCGGTGAATATTGCATCAAATGCCAATAATCAACCATCTGGTCAGCACATTCGCCAACTTGGTCAGCAAATTCAATTGGCCATCCACAGCGGCTTTATATCCAGTCAAATTTTGACGCAGCCTCTGACACAAAATACTTTAAATTTATTAAACCAACTACTCAGCAGTATAAAGGTATATATTTACTCTCTTCAATTATGATTTGATTGCAATTGATTCATTGTTTGTTTGTCTATGTTGCAGCATCTTCAAGCAGCGCAACAATCTCTTTCTCGGGGCAGCAACGCCAACCCCATGGTTGTCAATGTAACCATTGCAAAATACAAACAACAGATACAAAATTTACAAAACCAAATAAATGCACAACAGGCTGTTTATATAAAGCAACAGAACTTGCAACAAAATTCACAGCAGCAGCAGCAGCAACATCCATCCGGACACATAAATAACTCTGGAAATGACTATCTAAGAAATCATGATGCAATAACTACCCTTCAAGGAAATTTCTCAGAGCTGAATCTTAATAAGGTGCGTACCCAATTAGTTAGAAAGTCGGTCGATTAGTTTGTAGCCTTCGAACTAAATCTTAATTTAATTTTGAATCCTAGCGAAAGTATGATACTTTTTTTTTGGTCCGTATACAGAACGCATTTATAATTTATATATGATTTCTTTTGAAATTATTTAAGACCATATAATAAATATATGTGTGGGCACACATATCGTATATTAAACTATATAAAATAATGTGTTGTATATTCGTTTAATTATAGCCTAGTGGATATCAGGGTGCTCCCAATCAGCAGTCCCGCTTGAATCAGTGGAAGCTTCCAGTATTAGAAAAGGATACCATCGCTACGGACAGCACTGATTTTTCACGAGCTCCGGGCACAACAAAACAAAATTTAACTAGCAACTCAAGCAACATGGGCCCGCTCGGCCTACAAAACGATGGGTCAGTAAACAAATGCTATTATTTATAAATAAATAAATTAATTGTTTTTTTTTGTAGTACTTGGTCAACTGGGCGCAATATTGGAGACGGTTGGCCAGATCCTTCAATTGATAACGAGAACAAAGACTGGTCAGTTGCACCGACAGCAGCTGCGTATACCGACTTGGTGCAGGAGTTTGAGCCAGGCAAGCCGTGGAAGGTAACTGTAGACTGGCGTACTCTTTCCAATAACTACCCAAGCAGAAGTTGATTTTTAAGGGTTCTCAGATCAAAAGCATTGAAGATGATCCAAGCATAACTCCTGGCAGCGTAGCTAGATCTCCATTGTCCATTAATCCGACGCCAAAAGATGCTGATATTTTTGCCAACACCGGCAAGAACTCTCCGACTGATCTGCCGCCACTAAGTTTATCGTCGTCAACGTGGAGTTTCAATCCAAACCAAAATTTTCCTAGGTAATTACATATTTACCTCCCTAGCTAATCACATTTTACTCAGAAAAGATTCCTGTTTAATTCCACTGAAAACACTTTTGGCATATTTGTCGGGTATTTCAAATCTCATCAGCTTTAAGTTTATTTTATTTTATTTTTGTATTGTATAAAATTCTTCCTCAAGGTCCCTATAGAGGGTATTATAACTTATTTAAGCAATTTATAATGTAATAGACGTAGACGTATGAGACATCATAGGTATATATATATATTTTGAACTATTTTCCATCCAAAGTAGACTCTTAGTCAAAAAGGTCTGTCTTTTTATTCCAAAATTATGTTAAAGTTAAATAAAATTGGTGCATGGAAAGTTTATAAAACATAATTTCGCGAATTTCGAGCAATAATTTGGTTATAAAATTTGAAATTTGAACTAGTTTTTAAATAAGTGTATATAAACAAGAATGAGTATGAAAATCGATGAAAAAAACGGCTTTAAACCCACAAATTTCTGTATATATATATATAGTTGGTCAGACAACAGTCAACAATGTGCCACCTCAGAACTCTGGACAAGTCCTCTAAACAAAAGCTCATCTCGAGGACCTCCGCCTGGGTTGAGCACAAACAAATCGGGCGGCGTTACAGCCACGACACCATCTCCTACTGTGGCCGGGAACTCCAATGGTTGGCTTCCTAATCGTAGTGTTCCCAACACTAATACAACTTGGACTGGAGCTAATGCTGCCTGGAACTCTAGTTGGTTGCTACTGAAAAATCTAAATGCTCAGGTATGTTAAGATCTCATAAATAATTAATAATAATAATCATTATAATAATATTAATAATTATCAAAAATATTAATATTAATAATTAATAATATTACATTATTGATAGTTTTGAAATATTTCTAATTTTTGGCTATGTATTTATTTTATGGCTTTTCATGGTTTTATTTTATGGGTTTTCGTGGTTTCTTTTATTTGTGCCACTCAAATGGTTAAAAATGTAAACCAGAAAAATATTTATATGAGCGTTAGGCTTCGATTTTACCAAATATTTTTATACAATAGACGTATATTTTTTGTAGATCGATCTGTAATTAATCTATGCCGAAGGTCAATTTAATTGAGATACGACTATTTATTTGCTTATAAAATAATATAATAACCTATAATATAATACCCAATGCTTTCAGATTGACGGCTCTACCTTACGTACTTTGTGTATGCAACATGGTCCCCTTGTTAGTTTCCACCCATATCTAAACCAAGGAATTGCCTTATGTAAATATACAACGCGGGAGGAAGCTAACAAAGCACAAATGGCCCTTAACAATTGTGTGCTCGGTAACACAACAATATTCGCTGAATCGCCCAGCGAGAATGAAGTCCAGAATATACTGCAACATTTGCCACAAGCGCCCTCCTCGACTAACTCGGCGGGAAGTGTTGGCAATGGAAGCGGCGTCGGCAACATAAGCGCCAGCGTTTCCAATAGCTGCTCTGGTGCTGCGACCATATCTGGCGGAAACAGCAGCAGCAACGGCAATGGAACCGGCGGCAACGGTGGATCGACTGCAGCCGGAACGAGCGGAGCAGCCACCAATGCAAGCGGCGGTGGAGGCAGCGGCAATTCCGTCGGATCCGGATCAGTTGGCAGCAGCAGTACAGGTAGCAACAACAATGGCAGCGGAAGCAATATGAACACGGCTGTAAATGGTGCCCCGCCAAGTGGTAACGGTGGCAACAATACCAAAAATTCATCTGCTGGTGGTGGACAGCCAAATGTTGCCAATGTGACACCTGCAGCTGGCGGCAACTCAACGTGGCGTCAGAGTACTCAAAATCAGGGTCTACAGCAGGGGCCAAATCGACCAGCCGGTAGGGAAGCAGATTATGATTATATATCTCAATTCGTTTGTTCCATAGTTGATGATTAATTTGATGATGACCATGGCATAGCATTCTGTGAATCAACACACACACGCACACACACACACACACACACACACACACACACACACTCACTCACTCACTCACACACGCACACACACACACACACACACACTCACGCACACACAACATAGTGTGTACACACACACGGACTAGATTCAGCATGGAAAGCGCAACTATGTTATGTGAGAAAAGGTACATAAAGTGGATCGACTGATAAACGAATGGACTTAGAATTTTGTATGCCTGTAGATTTATTTTTCTTTATCGTTCATAGATTTTAGGGCCTGTATATGTAAGACAAAATCTATATACAAAAAATACTTTGGAAATACTTGATACTTGAATTATTTACTTCCTATACTTAACACAAACACACACACATGCCTACACAATTACCTTTCCATTATATACAAGTCAAGTGTTCAGTATCCGGATTCCCAAAGTTAACGTACAGTTTGACTTTCAATTTGAATGGCAGCACAAGAGTCCGATATATATATATATATATATATATATATATATGCACGTGATTTATGTGTGAATACAATATATAAAGACAAATGTGCATCTCTTGCTTGATTAAGTATGTGTCGTCGTCCCACACACAAGTATGAAAAAACAAAACAACTCATGAGTTGAAAATTTGATTATTTTTTGTAAATCCAAAAAAAATATATGGAACAACAAAAACTACAAAAAAAATTACCTGTGTTATATACATAATAGGAAGTTATAATCAATTACGGTTTTGCTTTCACTAAAGCATTCCCACCGAAAAAAAATTCGGTTAAACATACATAATTAGCTCACAATAAAATACTAATGAAGTAAATTAGAAAATCAATTGCCTTTGAATATGTTTTTGGACACCAGAAATTGGGAAACCTAATTATATCGGCATATATGTTGCATGAGTAAATCTACATTCAATTGAATATTGAACTTAAAATATTGAACTTAAATGGTAGCAAAATGACTCTCAATAGAACGTAGAACAACCGAACAAATATTAAATAGTTAAAAATATATAACTAAACATTGATGTATATATACTTCTGTATGATTTAATCAATGGTTAATTAATCACCAAAAATTTAAATGTTGTTCTTTAAATTGTTTTTATAATATGTGGAAATTGGTCATTTACATGATATATATATTGAGCACACACTGTGTACGAACACGCATACTTAACAAGGATATACCCCCAACCCCGTAGCTCATCCCACGTGTCCAGCTCACAACTGCCGTTTAATACCTTCTTACCAAGTATGTGTTATAAACATATATGCACAAACATACACATACACATACACACTACTCCACAAGCTGTGTAGCGACTGTGCGTGCTTTACTTTGCTCCAACCTTTAAAACAAATCCATTCTTGAATAACTTCTGTGCTTACGGTCCGATCTTTCAAATATATATTTATAAATACTAAAGCATGACTATAGTTCATAAAATTGATATATTTTTCATTTTTCTTTTTGGGAACGCGGGGCCAGAGAAGGTATCCAATAATGTATCTTGATGTGTGTAAACTACACTCTTATAATTTACACTCTACACTCTTATATTTTCCGTCCGACCGACTTGTAACGTAACAGCAAAGCTCCATTTAAATTGGTAATCAATATGGAGGGAAATATGTTAGGAGGTACCTTCTGTTACTCATCCGATTGACTTTAAACGGCTATTTTAGAAGTGCTGCACTAATTGGGGAAACGTTGACTCTACTGCCTGGAGTTGGGTGAGCATATTCTAATTATTCCACAGTTGGAAAATTCAAATGTAATAGCTAAAATTTGAAGAAAATCAATTGTCCCAGGCAAAGCCCGGTAATACCTGCTAGTTAACAATAATAGAACAAAGGAAAAATAATAGAAATTTATATTTACATAAAATTGCAAGCGCTGATTACACACTTACACACTATGTACATATGTATAAACTTATAAATTCCAGATTCGGCTCAATTTCCAGTGCGTCAATTCAGAGTGACCAATTGTCAATAGGGTATAATGGTATTGGTGTTTTATTTCGCGAGCCGTTTTAATGGTGGTAAATCATTTTTTAGAAATGGCGAATATTAATGCGAACGTAATGAATCTACGAAGCATTAAGGTTGTCGTTGATTAGTTAGATTTTCTTCATTTAATATCATACTACTTAGGTCGAACCAAAGTTTTCAAATAACTGTAAAGCATGTTTGTGTGCATTTCCATACATATGTACATATATGTATCTAAGATATTTTGCCATTATAAAAATATTTGTAAAGATGTGGACGTAAATGAAATTGTATTTGTACAACAAAAATTGGTTCGCCTAATATCTTTTCGCATATACTATGTTGCTTTTGGAGATGCATAATTATCTTCTATATTTTTTAGTGTAAAATGTGTTAGCTTTTTAAAATTTAATAATACGTTACGGGCAGCTACATACATATGTGCGAATGAATACATTTTTAAAACTGTGATTTCAATCAAAATTAAAAACAAACAAAAGCCAACAAAATTTTCTAAAACAAAGTGATAGATAATTAAAATGGCCCACATATAGAATCTTGTGGTTTATGTCAAACTACGAAGTTACATATGTCGACATGAATTGCGTGAAATTATGTGTGCTCCTCTTTATAACCTCATGAGTGTGCATATATAAAAATATATATTGCGTACATACATACATATGTATATATATATATATATATATATATATATATATATATATATATATATATATATATATATATATATATATATATATATATATATATATATATATATATATATATATATATATATATATATATATATATATAATACATAACAGTTACTGTATGTGAAGCGGGTTTATTTATGTAGTAATATATATCAATAGCTGATTAAAAAATGAGATAACTTACATTACTAAGGATATTCAACACAGAATAATTAAGTGATTTATAGTATAAATGTGTTATCGGTGTCATTTCATCAAGCGCGTATAACTATTTACAAACATTAGAACAGATTGAAAAAAAAAATGGTTTTAGTAGTAACAGGCTATATATATATATGAATTGAATATAACGAATATGTACGCATGCAAAACAAAAAGATATACATATACATAAATATAAATATATATACGCATATTTAAAATGGATCAAAAGCACTTTATGAAAATTAGTTATTTATTTAAGCTACACGAGAGACAGTTTAACACATACCTAACAAATAATAAAAATCTTATTTAAAATAAGTCTTTGAAAATAAATACATATTAATTTCAATTAGAAAATTTAATTTATTTTTGCTAATTGCAAACTTATTTGTGCGAACCTATTTTATATAAAAGAAAAATAGTATACGCAACGTTTAGGTAAAGCGCTGGGTAATAATTATTATATTAGTATTAATGGCATATAAATATTACGGCTTACATTGTTTTAAAACTATTATTTGTTGTATAATTTTCAATATATATCAGCTTGCGCCAAATCATATATTCGATATTTACAATTTCTTATCAGCGATAGTTTGACGCTCGCATTCAGGATGTGCGTCAAATTAGCGGCGGTGAGTTAACGTCGAATATTGGTACTCGGTATCGGAAAAGGAATCGGATTCGACTCGGGGCCTGTTTGTATACATATGTAATTGATATGCGCACGCTTACACTCATTCTGGTTGTTTGTATGTATTCATGGTTTCCCACTTAATATTTTATTAAATGTAACTACATTTACTTATAAAATAACGTTATTTAGAAATTAATATAGATATAATCGATATTGATTTATTGACATATCGATACATATACTAAGAGTCCTCTCTAATTAAAAAATATGTTTATTGCACGTGAAGCTAATGTAATTACTAAAGAGTTTCTTATGTAAAGCAAATAACATTAAATTAACACGTGTTTGAATCAACTGCTAAATCGCATTGATTTCATAAACAAAATTAAATAACGTACAACATATGTTGTTTGGTTAGTGGTACGATATACCATTTTCAAACTAATCGATGGAGTCGAGCAGCCCATCGATATATCGTATCTGGTCGTTGCTCAAACAACCAACCCTACTGCTACTATAACGAGAAAAAACTATGCATACATATGTACACACTGCGTGTCAATTGTGTCGAAATACTGCTGTGGACATTTATACAAAAGAGCATTTGTACATATGAGTAAAATTGGTTCTGTAGTAATAATTAATGTTTTCGGACGAGTGCATATGTATCAAATAATTCGTACTGCCAACCACAATGAATAGTATCGGTAGATTATCACACAACACGCGCAAAGGTACCGTATTGTTGGATGTGGAAGCAAAGTGAGTGCCCAAATAAATTAAATGCTACAAAGCGAAGTAAAAGTCTAGAAAAGTGCACATTTGAAAGCAAAGAGCAGAATTCAATAAAAAATGTGCTAAGTTTTAACATTCTGAGCGGTCTTTGCGGGCGGCAAGTCAACAGGAAAACGGACAAGGGTTATCTGGAAGTCCCTGGAACGAGACATAAACGGGACTTCGATGACGTTGCCAGCATAGACCCAAACCATACGCAACTGGGCGCCAGTGGACAATTAAAATACGTGCCAAAAGGGCAACAGGGCACGCTTCTATTGGACGGGCCATTTGGCAGACGGCCGAATATAGCATCCAACTATTATCCACTAGTCCACCAGCACAATCCAGAATCCGAATTTGCCACAGTTCGGCGAGGCACACCAACACTTACCGAATTTGTTGTCGATCACGATTATAGAAATTTAAGCATATACCTTGGCAACGTGAAGGCCGGGCAAAACACTGAATTGGGGCATTTGCAAAATGCCAGATACCAAAAATTGAGCAAGCGGCACCAAAGCGATGATCGAGAATTTACTTTCAGCCAGCGTGCACCTGTGAAGAGAGGCGCGATATCGCTAGACAATCAAATTCGAGCAGGTTGCATAAAGCAGTGCATTTGGGGGGCAGAGTCCCGAAAAAACTGTGCTCCGCCGTCGGCAAATAATTTATTTTCTCTAATCGATGATGTGGCCAGGCATAAGTCTTTAGAAATCGGTGCCGACAAGCTGCCAGGCAATGGAAGTTCGAATCGTAGCCTATTTTCGACTAAAGCAACCAATTTAATAAACATTGCGGATGATGAGAAGAGTGCATCAGCAGATCATGAATCTGGCGAATCCTGTGTAGATCTAGATATAAACAACAGCTGCATTCGTTCAGAGTTCATACCGAAAAAAGATCGTAACCAGCTAAAGCGTCAAGCCGAGATTCAGAGTAGACAATCATCCCATGATTCGAATAGCGACCGATATGGCACTGCATTAGAGGATCTAGCTGCCAGCACCTCCAGCATAGCCAGCGAGTCGGAGAAAGTCCAAGAAGAAAATCTCACGCAAAGCATAACTAGTTTAAATTCGTTGCCGGCGAGCGCAGTTCGATTAGTAATGTCATTATCATATCGATCACGACCGTTGAACAATTTTACCAAATCGCAAAAGAACCCCGGCCTGCAATCAACTACAGTTCCACGAGAAACCCCTCAAGAAAATCAAACCGGACAATATGTGCGCAATGATGAAATAGGCTCTGCCAGAACTAAAGAGCAAGTAACATTTACGGGCGCAATTTTAGAGCCCGGCAACAATAATCACAGCCTGTCCAGCTACAATAACAACACCAACAACAGGACGTTTAACCATTTGGACAACAACAATAGCCAGCTAAATACCTATATTTTCAACGAAATGGTCGGCACACAGAACACAAATAATGTTCAGTTGTCCACGGCGAACGCCATTCTAGATGCCAGCACGTTCACCGGGGATATGCTGCCGTCGGCCTCCATCGAGATGAAGTTGGGCAAAACAACAACTTCACCCGCGATGCTGACTCTGACTATGCCCCAAAATCCAAGTGGTAGTGCAAATCAAATGAATCCCAATAGTTTATCATCGCATCGCTCCTGTACAGAGGTCCCATTTTATAGCAGCAGTTACGGATCGACGGCTATTTTTCAGGATCGTAAATTACCCTCAGATCATCCCAGGGTACACGTTTCAGCCATACATGGATGTGGAGTCTCAACATCAATTCAAGGTACACTATATATGCAATATTTATTTTCTATACATACTTATTATATATTCAATTTGATAGCAAGCTCTCTACCGAACGTTACAATTGTCACTCCAAAATCGGAAGCATCGCCAACTTCACCGAAAAAAGATTTGTCTTTAAATGCTGCGGCAGTTGACTCACTCGCTTTGGTATCTCAGAATCAGAAATCCGTAATAGCTGTTGGCGAGCATTTCTCGTTTCATGAACAAATCATTATGTCTGGCCAACAGAAGAGTGCACTGCAAGATAAGCCAAAGGCGCTTGTGGTTTCGCCGCAGCAAGTTATGATACTTTACATGCATAAATTGACGCCATACGAGCGCACAGAAATATTGGCCTATCCGCAGATTTACTTCATTGGCGCCAATGCTAAGAAACGGCCGGGAATTTATGGACCGAACAATTCCGATTACGACAATGAGCAGGGCGCTTATATCCATATACCGCATGATCACGTTGCCTACCGTTATGAAATGCTTAAAATAATCGGCAAAGGGAGCTTTGGACAGGTTATCAAGGCCTATGATCACAAGACGCACGAACATGTTGCACTGAAAATTGTGCGAAACGAGAAACGCTTCCATCGGCAGGCACAAGAGGAAATTCGTATACTGCATCACTTGCGACGCCACGACAAGTACAACACCATGAACATCATTCATATGTATGACTATTTTGCCTTTCGGAATCACACCTGCATCACTTTCGAACTCCTCAGCATCAATCTATATGAGTTGATAAAGAAAAACGGCTTCAAGGGTTTCAGCCTACAGCTGGTACGTAAATTTGCTCATTCCTTGCTCCAATGCTTGGATGCACTTTACAAGAATGAGATAATTCATTGTGATATGAAGCCGGAGAATGTGTTACTCAAACAACAAGGTCGCTCTGGTATCAAGGTAAAATCAAATCTTTAAATATCCTCCATCCATTTGAAATAAACACTATTTAATGTCAATAGGTCATTGACTTTGGATCGTCATGCTTTGAAAGTCAACGTGTTTACACATATATACAATCAAGGTTTTACCGCGCACCCGAAGTTATTCTGGGCGCAAAATATGGAAGAGCTATTGACATGTGGTCGCTCGGATGCATTCTTGCTGAGCTGCTGTCGGGGCATGCTCTATTCCCTGGAGAAAACGAAAGCGACCAGTTAGCCTGCATTATCGAAGTTCTTGGAATGCCAAGCAAAACTTTATTGGCGAGCTCAAAGCGAGCGAAAACTTTCTTCAGTCCTAAGGGTTATCCACGCTATTGTACTGTCCGCACCATGCCTGATGGGATGGTGGTATTAATCGGTGGTCAGTCACGGCGAGGCAAGCCTCGTGGACCACCATGCTCCAAGAGCCTTTCAAAGGCATTAGATGGCTGTAAGGATCCGCTCTTTCTTAACTTTATTCGCGGATGTCTGGAATGGGATACCGAAAAACGACTAACGCCCTCGGAAGCCCTGAAGCACCCATGGCTGCGTCGTCGCCTGCCTAGACCTCCAAGCAGCACAAGCGGCGGTGATGGTTCAAGCGGCGCTGGTGGAGGCAGTATTGGAGGCGGGGGAAGCATTAGCGGTGACCAATCGCCAGTGACAGGTGAATTTCAGACAAACCTTTCGCAAAATGCTTTCAATTTTTATTTACTTGCGTAATATTACTTTCAGGGATGAAACCGAGTTGTGGTAATGAAGCTGCCACAGGCTCGGCAGCCTCGGAAAGAGATAACAGCCACTGCAGTGGCCGCGTTAATTATGTTGGATTTGGCGGTGCCGATTACAAGCATGGCGCTAATCTATCTGGGGCAACGGCATCGCCAGCTAGCAACTCAGCGTTGCCCGTTGATCTTTTAGCGGACATCATCAGCAAAACGAGCGTTAAATGTTCAACACTAGAAAGTGTACCGACAGCGGCTTTGGAGAGCAGAGCTCCTGCTGGCGTTAATAGCAATACTCTCGGCCTTTCTAGATATCCATCGGCATTATCGAATTTGCCCCATACGACTGTCAGCGGATCTGAGTGTAATATAAAACGACTCAGTTTTAAGTTAATAATAAATAATGTAAATATTTTTTTCAGGCTTACCCGCTATGTCCACAATCAACTCCTTAAAGGGGCTACAAGCCACAAAATCGCAAACGCATCTATCCGAATCAATCATAACTAGCAACTCGGCCGACTCGGGACTTACTACAATTCATTTGGGTGGCTCGCAGGCCTTGTTGGAGATGGATTGCTATAAAGCCTATTCAGTTGACAGGCCTATCAATAGGGCTTCAAATACCAACTTACTCCCGCACGCACAAAAGATAAAAGCACCATCAAAGGATATTTAGCAGAATATGGATCAATTTATTGCCATGCATCTAAGGGCTTAGGGCGGTGTTTGTTTGTTGTTAGTCAATATGTCTATATTAACAACAAACTGCCATACAAGTGATAGACCTAACACAACTTCTACTTGGTTTTCAATTAAAGAACCTAAATAGCTATATTCCAGCACACACTCACATACACTCACATGGAGGCAAAGATCTCAAGAAGGCTAAATGAAAAGCAAAAATAGTGGCATTTCAAATTAAACTACTACTAATCGAACGCTTGCATTTAATTATTAACTTATTAGGCATTGCGAGACTTTATGGTTGGTATATAAGCATATATATCCCTACATAAAATATACACAACTACATATATATACATGGTACCAACCTGTAGCATTAAATTCATTGCAATATTTTCTCTTTCATGTATCTTTTTTTAATTTACGGCAGAAACAAAAATATTCAGTATTTGAGCGTAAAGTAATACTCGATTTATATCGACAGCGGACTTCCCAATCTACTTAATTATGTGTATCTATTGTTTAATTCACGGGGTATCGACACAATTCTATAAAAAAAAACGAAGAGCGAATCGACAACAAAATAGTGTAAATTTAATTAATGTGTTCAGTTCTTGGAAAGTTTTCTAATTGATAACTTTTGTATAAGGACATAAAAAGATCGACAACCAAATAACAGTCGAGGGTCTCAATTTATTATAAGTAATAAATAAATATAATTGCATTATTAATGGGGAAATGCCCGATAAAATTGCTTGCATATTAAGCAATCGAATTGTGACCGTCATTCTTGTAAACGTGCTTAATTCTATGTATAAATTTATATGCTTTTATCTTTGTTTTGTTTATTTGGTTCCTTCATCTCAGTTATTTTTAATTTTGCTCTTAGGTTTAATTTAAGGAAATATACGTGCATAAATATTAAATATTCAATAATTAGAATATTTCAACGTTTAAATAAAGTGTTAATATTAAAAAAATTGTTCAACTTTAACAGAATATTATATAGAATAGAATTTTACAAAAAATGGTAAGCACAATAATATAGCAGCATGTTTAAAAATTTAATCCGCTTTCCATTTTCCAGATAAAAACTAGCCTGCTGTTTTTCCTTAATTTAACCCATCAACCCAAACTCTCAACCAGGGTGGAATTATCGTAAATGCCTCGAATATCAGAATACATATTGCTAACCAATATCAACAGATTTTTGTACCAAATCACAAATCGATTATACATACATGTGTCTGCTGCAAGGGTATCCAATCCTCGGCGAACCGAGCGTAAATTTTCCTTTTTGGTTTTCCTTGCAATCCTTTTGAGTTATTAAACTGAATCACCTAAATACAAAAATATGTCAGAGAAGTATTTCAAAACTTTTACCGGTAAAAACAGACTAGGTATATTAAAAGCTTCCACACACATACATATATATATATAGTATATATACGTGCCAAAGCTTCAAAATGCTCTCATTGCCAGCATCGAATACTGTGCTCATATCTAGATCCGAACAGTCGACGATTGGATTTGCACCAAGAACTATCGATCAGTGTGCCTTAGTAAGAAGTACCGGAAGTTTGCGGTGCAGGGAATACATCTTCTTGAAGGATTTAAGACAGCTCATATTAAGGTAATTTTCGAATATATAATTAATTCACAAGATAGGAATGTTATGCATATAATAATATTTAACAAATTTTAATTTAATGTACATATGTATGATTTTTAAGTGAAAGTCAATACTGTTGCATACCACTTACGTGTAATTTCACAAAAAAGGAATTTAAAAAAATTTGAAAAATATTTATTACGAAAATAGAATACCATTTTAAGATTGCATGCATATGATTTTATTGGGCAGAGGCTGACGTATCTTTCTTCCTGCCATCACTCCTCCTCCTCCTCCTCCCCCCCCCCACGATCATTTACAAGCGTGTATAATTATGTAGGTATACACATGCGTATATGCGTATGTGTGTCTGCGTATGCATGTGTGTGTGTGCATTCAGATGTGTGTCCGAATTCCGACGTATGCGTATTTTTATACATACATGTATGTGTATGCAAGTGTGTATGTAGGTAAAACATACATATTTAGATGTGCATTTAGGTCTCAGGTACGCGCAAATAACTTAATATACAAAACGAATAATACGAATACGTATTTATAAGTAAATCATGCACATAAGTAGCACATATAAGTAAAATTTAACCCGTTTGTTTGTGTACATATGTATGTATATCAAAACTAATTAATTATTTGCTTACATATGTACATATGTACATATATCTTTATACATATATTTAAAGGCTCACTGTGCTAGCCCCCAGTCTGCCCAATGGAAACTAAAAAGGTGAGCAAATACAACATTTTTAGCAGGTAGTATACATGTATATATATATATATATGCTTATCCCCTCCCCTCTCCTCGCACATTCTAAAATAACATCGGTGCTTATTGTCCGATCTTTCAAAAAAATACTATGCAAAATAGATTGCGAGCAACGAATTGGGTTAATATTTAATGATAATTGGTGGGAGTGTTCCCTTACCTCTCTAATTAAATCATACCTATGCTTCAGTCAAGAGCCTACGGTTGGGATATACCCTGTTTCAGATCCGATCTACGATTGCATTCTTCCGAACTTCCTTAACACACATATACTATAATATTAACATTAATATTATTTAATTATTAAATGCCAGATAAAGACTGTTATAAACGCCGAGGAAGAGCACTTGGCTTCTAAGTCAATAAAAACAACTAGAAAAACTCTAAAAAAGGTAACAAAAACTAATTCCAAAACAGAGACACTTGTGGAAACCAAACTCGAGGACACCGGATCGACAAACTCAATCCGGGAGAATGATAAAAAAATGTTTGATTCCGTCGTTGGAGCACCTGTGGAACCTCAGGAACTGTCAGGAAATAATCCAGAGGATGGTGGGGATGGGAATGGGAATGTTGCTCTTAAAAAGAAGAGCAAAGCAAAAAAGCCAAAGAAATGCGAATACGATAATCAAAACATATCTGTCGTAAGTTATATTCCCATAATAAAATAGTTGGTTGGGCCACCAACCATACAATGTACATTGTACATAACATCTTATATTTATTATATTATATTATTCGCAGAAAAGCAGTTTTAACAAGTTCGAGGCCCTTCAGAAGCGTAATTTAATTCATGTACGTTCAAGTGATTCAAGTAAAGCCCAAGAAATCTTCAGTGTAAGCAAATCATTAATTAATCCAAACATTTCTATGAGCCAATCCATATTCGATTAACCCCAGAGCATGACAAAAAAAAAATATTAAAATATCAGAAATCATTTTCCAATGTCAAGAATATACTATACAATAAAACTATCTGGAGCGCATGAGTGTAAAGTATGAATATTATTTTAACAGAATCTGCAAGATGAGCAGCAGACCCATTGTCGATATTGCACCAAGCCGGTTTATAAAATGGAAGAGGTCATAGTTCAGTTCAAGACTGATAAAGGTATCTACCACAAATCCTGCTTGCGCTGCCAAGATTGCGCAAAACAATTGAAGTATGTATAAGATACCGACTACATATTTATCGACTACGTATCGTCTGCAAATCCCAATTAACTATTCATTTCAGGTTCGACAACTACCAGAGTCACGAAGGTAATCTGTACTGCAATGTACATTTCAAGTTGTAAGTACACCAGATAATTAGAACATATTTTCGTCACCTTTCACTATTCCTCATTCTCCTTCAATCCGACAGGCTCTTTGCGCCCAAGGTCGTGGAGCAGGACGAAGAGCCCAAGCCCCGTAAAACGGAGCTCATCATACGCGAAAGTCAGCCGACCGAGCTCCCGCCGGACGTCGTACGCGGTAAGTTAAGCTCTGCAACCAAAAAATTGTAACTAAAAAAATTAGAATCAAAACCAGAGAAAGAGAGAGAGGGAGCATAGCAGAGCAAACCAGATCAAAAAGCAAGAGAGTAAGTAATACATATGATACAGTATATCTCTCCCAATGCAATTGCTTACTCTCTTCCACATAATTTGTGTGGCAGAACGGGATCGCATACTCTCAGTGTTCCCTCTTAGTGCTCTCTCATTATGCCTAGGTACCGTTTATATGTATGAATTTGTCTGTGAATGTGTAAAAGCAAAAATTCGCACAAAGTCAAAGTTTCCGATGCAATTTTTCCCGTTTGAAGGAATGAGTTCATGAAATACTGAAAGGGTTTGCCACGTCGTTGAGAAATTCTTGCATTTTAGCTCGTTATTGTTGCTAAGGGTATCTTCAAAGACAATATAAACATTAATTTATGTTGTGGTCAGTTTCGTTTGGGATAACTTCTGGCCAAAATGTATCTAACTATTTAAACTATTTAAATTTGTCAATATTACGATTTTTTTCATAAATAAGCATCTGATAAACCGGATCTGGGACTCGATGAGCTGCATCAACTGAACGTTCGCTCCAGATTTGAGCTATTCGAGAATGTGGAACAGAATAAACTTAAGGAGGAGCAATTGCAGGCTCAGCAGCGTCCCGTGATAAAGCGCAGCACTTCCGTTCTAACCAAGTATCGCCTAAATAGCGCCGAGATCGAAAATAATTGTTCCGACAGCGGCGACGAGTCTGGCGAAGAGAATGAGGACGCCGACTTGATACGTTCCAAGAGAAGCACCCAAAAGGAGCGGCCCGTGGGCCTTGGCGATGCCATGAACGACATCAAGACGAGATTTGAGAAGGGCACCATGCAGTCGAAGGAGGAACGACGCGAGGAGCGAAAACAGGAAATCCAAAATATACGCTCTCGCCTGTTCATGGGCAAGCAGGCGAAAATCAAGGAAATGTATCAGCAGGCTGTTGCCGAATCCGAGCACGGAATTACGTCCGTTGGCAAACAGCCGGACATCCAAATTGAAGGAGCAGCGGCTCGTTCCATTAAGGAACGATTCGAAAATGGTGCAATATTCAATGTTAAGGGCAACAATGTCGAACCAACCGATTGCAACAATCACAGCTCGGGTCTATCGGAGGATGCCGATGTATTTGAGTCTGGTAAGTATTTTTTAAAGGTTCACGCTTCGAAGCGACTCGCTACTTAAGCTTTGCTGCCTGAACCAGATCTTTAAACCCAGATTTTGATTTAAACTCTGGTTCGTCAAAGATTTGTAAACATTTTAACGAAACAATTCCAATTCTATTATAAAACAAGTATTTTGCATGAAGTGCATGTGTGTGTATGAATGTGTGCGTGTGTTTCTGTGTGTGTTTGTGTATGCATTTATGTACATACATATATACATATGTATGCATGCATGCTTAATTTTTATACCAATCACAGAACAAGCTTTTTTTCGCTGTGCTGCAAATTAAAATAAAACAAGTTTCTGCCAAGTGCTCTTCTCCTCGATTCTCAAGAATTTAAGTAGGCTCTGCACGTTTGCTTGCCTACACTAGGAGCGTAGTGTTATTTTATTTTTTTTTTTTTAATTACATATGTATGTACATATGTATGTATGTATATACATATGTATGTATTTATATACATATGAATGTACGTACATATATATGTATGTATGTATGTATATACATATGTATGTATGTACATATGTATGTATGTACATATGTATGTATGTACATATGTATGTATGTATGTATGTATATACATATGTTTGTATGTGTATACATATGTATGCATGTATACATATATGTATATATATGTTTGTACATATGTATGTATGTGTACGTATATAGATACAATGGGTATAAGATTTAGTTGTTTTCTGTTGAGCTTCATTTTGTAGCAAAGATAGGACTATTATGGTATAGTGCACACATCATTAATATTTTAATTTATGTTAGGCTGCGATAATCAAGTGTTCCATTTTTCTTCCATTTTGACTGAGATATATATATATATTTATGTGTATTTAGCTATAAGTAAAAAGTCACGAAGTATCTTTAAGGAGTTGGAAGCAAACTCGGTATCAAATTCGAATAACCAGATAAAATTTCAAAAACAACGACCTGTTGCACTCAGCAAATGCACGAGCCAAAGTCAAGTGTGCGAGGTAAGTTCTCAGAGTACATTTGTAAAAATAAACAAAGTAATATAATAATAATATTATAATTTACAGAATGCTGACCTTGATGTCGTAAAATGTGATGATAAGCCAGAGGATGTAAAAATAGCCACCGATGAGTTGAGCCAGAAGTTCAAATTCTTTGAAACCTATCGTCCAAAAGGCAGTGAGAAACGCCAGTTCCGCATAACGCCGCCTCGGGAAGGTGTTGTCAAGATGCCGTCACCCGATTCCGATTCGGGGCAAGCGGATGATCGAAAGTTGAACTTGTCGTTCGACGAAAATGTGCTGCAAAAAACGCAGACCACGTCAACGATGCTAAACAAATTTCGTGAAATGGAGCAAAACACATTCAAGAAAGCAGAATGTTACAGTCCCAAGCCACTAAAGTGTTTCACTCCTCCGCCGGAAGATAGGCGGGTGCATTATGATAAATCCAATAGTGAAGAGGAGGGGGACGAGGACGAGGACGAGGACGAGTACGAGAGCGATGATGAAGCTGAAATTGATAAAGAAATTTTAGCATTAAGCTCAAGCAATGGGGACGAAGCTCTCAAAGAGGTAAGCGGAGTAGTTTTCAACAATTTCTAGAACTCATTCTGATTAATCCACCTTTGAGTTATAGGCACAGAGCGCGGCCCGAGCCAAGCAATTGCGCGCCAAATTCGAAAAATGGCAGGCCAATGAAATCAAGCGGGAGCTTATTGATGGCTATGTTGATATCTATTCGCAACAAGTATCTGACGATTCAACAATAGAAAGCGCAAAGACGTAAGCTTAACAATCTCTAAGCCCTTGAATCCCTTTTTGATAATGCCAAATTTTTAATCATTTTAGAATTCGCGAGCGATTTGAAAATATGCGAAACCTCGAGCGCAATTCTTCGAATGGCCCCCGTTATCAGGTTAATCGTTTTGTAGTTAGTATCACTTTCTAAGTCCATACATATCTATATAGATATATTTTAATGAGTTGCTCATCCAATTTCAGTAATTTCTTTTGGTAATGGCTGGTGCTGGACTATTTTGGAACGCTAAGAACAATGATTTTAACAAAAACAAATTACTGTATTTACTTATTTATTATATTTTGTTATAGAAGTAATACAAGTATAAATCAATGTACCAAACTCTTTTAGTCTAGGCAAATTCATTTCTACATTACCAATATCATCGTCAGCAAGATTATCTCTATATATAAAACTGTTTGTATTCTTTAAAATGTATTCATTAAGTTCTAATGAACGGCTGGCTTTAATCCGCATTTTCCACCAAGGAAGTTTGAATTCTTCGGTGTGGAACATGACTCCCATGAATTTTTCTTAAAGTTTATAAAGATAAATATAAGCCCGAAACTTCACCTACCCATTTATACCAAGGAAATGGGTTCTCCTAAGAGTGAAAGACCCATTAAATATCAAGTAACAATTGCGAATTGAAGTTCCTAAAACCTGGTCTTAGCGTGCACCTGCGTCATATAAGGTAACTATTGTGAACATTTTAGACAAATTGTACGATTGTTCTATGGTAGAAATATAATTTATCATTTGCGAAAAACATAACTTTAAGCTGATTGAAACAATGTTCACGACATTTTATGTGTATACTTGATTTTTTTTTAATATGACAAATACAATTAAATATCTTATTCTATAGCTTTATCCATAAATTCCAGGAATCTTTTGGCATATTGTTCAGGATCACAAGTTGATATTCCATCAACATTACTACCATACTTAACTGTCTTTGCCGCTTTCGCTGCCTAAAATTCGAAAAACCAAATGTATCTTATAATTTTTAGATCCGAATTATTTGCTCGCATACCTGTTTTTTGACCCCGTATTGAGTCAAAACATCGATAATAGCTATGAAGTAGATTTCTCGTCTCTCTGAAAAGTTGTGTTTTCTTATTATTTATTTAGATTTCGTATATGATTTGCATTTACCTTCAATACTTGGAATGGCATAAATGTCGACTTCATAGACAACTTCCTTATATTGTGCACCTCTGGGGGAATCAGGTGGTGTGTTATACGTCCAGCTTTTAAATAGTTTTCATATTAATATATTGTTTCTAATTTAATTTAGATTAGGTTACCGTTCACCACTATCGCATTCTTCGCTCTCACTGTTCTCGCTGCGTCCTGTAGCCTGGGCACTATCTCCTTGAAGAGCCTCCTCTTCAGCCCGCACACAGTCGTGTATACCAACCAGCAAAGAGTAGTCCATTATATGCAACTTGGTCAGGAGCTGTTCGAGTATGGTAAAGTTAATGTTAAATGCATCTATTACTAGCGTTTCTTTTTCTTACTCATGCTTATATTTCATACATATATTTGGTTGGAGAACTCTTAACACGTATTCTTTCTTTTACAATTCGAAGTTTTAAAATTTTGTTAAGGGTCGTTCAGAATTAGTTTAGAATATTGCGCACGTCTCAAATGAATTTTCACGATTTTTGAAAATATGTTTGAGTCCGCGCTGATGGATCTGATGGTAAAATAGTTGGACCTAACTGTTTTCCAACAACTTTCTAATATTCTATATTCTAGGCACGCGTTTTAGCAGTTTTCTTTTCTTTTTTTTTTTAACAGCTTAGAGTCCTACATTCATTACAAAGAATAACTGTTGTTTGATACTTACATCAACATCATTGTTTAGAGTATCCAGCAATTTTTTCTTTGGTTCTTCTCCAATCTCCAATTTTACCTTTTGTTTTATAAAGTCGTTGTCCTTGTATGTGGGCAAAAGTTTTTCAAGCTCTTTCTCTGAAGCTTCGCGATCCACAGTGCTGCCTTTCAAATCAAATTTCCTACAGAACAAATTAATAAAATATATATATTAATAGTTCTTACGCATATATCCAAATTTAATTATACTTATGTATCGTCAACTGGGAGCTGAAAACATTTCGCATTACAACAAAATAATACTGCACGCTCTCTACAGTAATCCGGTACATGCCTAAGTATTGCGGCAACAGGGTTTTTCCATGACGCTCGACAACGTACTGAGAACATATGATATGACATTTACGTTATTTAAATAAATATTTAATCGTATTTGACTCACTGGATGATAATGCTTAAGAAAGGCATGCATGCGTTCAATTTCCTCGGATGTCAGACTCTTAATTATAAAGAATTTATCGTAGCTCTGATAAAATTGTGCACCCGACTTGCCCGATGAGTCGATGCCCAATGGCTGCGACCTGGTCAAGGACTCGCGGTAGTCGACATCATCGACGCCGAATCGCTCACGTAAATTGCGAAACACCAAGGGACAGTATTCTTTAACCTTAAAATGCGACGGCATATTCTCTCTAAGTAATAGAAAATTCGAATTCGAAACTCAAAGAATAGTTATACATAAATTCAAGCCAATTCTCATACTTGTTAAACAAATGGTTATCGACTTTGATTTTTGAGTATGCCCGAAAATCGTCTGGCAGCAACATTACAGGTATGTTGACATGACTTAATTCGTTTATCTGGAAATTGGTTGGCGTTATTAATAAAAGTTATTTATAATTGTGCGACACACTTACGGTATGATTAATGCCCCACATAAATACGCTAAGAATCGGCTCATTCGCACGGAAGAGCTTTACTTTTTGATGTTTTACTCTAAAATGCTTCTTCTTCAAAATGCGTGGTTGCGATGTAGAGGAGATCTTTTTGTCCATTTTGCTGTCTGGTCACTTGAGCTGCGTTCAAAAGAATTTATAATTTATGTATATGTATAGTCTGTAGTATAGTATTACTAAACAAATGCTTAAAATCAAGTGATAGATATGTATGCGCATATAAATATATACGTATTTATTGTATGGTACATACAAAAAAAAAGGAAAACTCGCATATGTACATATGTACAAGTCGCAAAGCAGCTAAAAACTAGAAAATTTAATATAATTGCAAGTGCAACTGCAAATCTATCTATATTAAGTATATTAATTGGAATTTCAGTGACAAATTTTAGACAAGGGAAATATTTATGTATGTATGTATGTATTCAGCGACAAACAAAAGTTACACAAACGCAAAAACAAATATATATGTATGTATGCTAGTATGTACACGTTTGTCTGTATGCAAGACGTACAAAACGAAGCAAGCTGCAACCGCAACTCCTTATCGACGTGAGTATATGCGCAACCGAAAAATCCAACTCACAATGACATTAATATTATTACAAATTGTACTTCGAATGAAAAGTTTTAATTATTTTATTTGTTCTATCCTTAAGATGTTTATCGACAGAGCCAACAATATTAACCGCTGCTGCTTCTCGATATACATGCTATCGACAGTATGCATTTCAATTTCAACACGGCATTTCGATAGTTTTTGCACTTTGTTTAGAATTTGTGCGGTTTTCCGTTAGTCGATTATTTTTAAAACGCAAATAAAGATGGTGTATGTTTTATCTACAAAAATTGGAAGCCGATCAGCATATTTATTTAAATAGTTGTTTTTTTTTTTTAATCGTTATCGATTAACCAAAAATCATCACTGAGGTAAATATGTATTTATAGTATTGCTCTCAATTAAACAGCATTCAACACGCTCTCTCTCGGTGCCTACCAGCAATAAATTGAGAGTTATATGTCGATCGGTTACTGGTTACTCTCGTGGATCTGCCTGAAGTCTCTAAGACGCGTGTAAACTTGTGCAAAAATGTGGAAACGTATCCAATTAGATTCAATCACATTTGATAACTGATTTTAATTAAACGAGTAACAGTTTTGACTGTGTGTTTTGTTTTGATATAAGCAATCCATTGTCTTCTATCGTTCGGTCCCAGACATGGCGGAATCCGGCATTGACCTGGGCTTTGACTTGGAGTTTGATTTAAACTTAAATTTGCTCAACGATAGCGACTCAAATATGGATTATTTGCCCAATGTGACGTTAGGAGGCAATGCGGAGAATGTCGAGTTCTACGAGTTGAAGTCCACGCGCTCTCTACGAACCGACGAAATGTAAGTACTAGTAACATGTCTTCGTGGAGTTGAACAAGCATGTATGTATGTATGCCATTGTCCACATTAATAAATATGCACATACATACATATGCAGGCACGCTTTAGCATTCAAAAATACATACATATGTACGTATCTATGTACATACCTGCACATGCAAGCGTAGGTATTCGACGACGGTTATATTTTCCGCATGATTAGCACTCTTTTATTATCTTATCGGGATTTTTATTCGTATGCTTGCGTTCATATATACATGTATATATTCACATTCATATGTATGTATCGGTTTGTATGTAATGACAGGTTAACGTCTTTTATTTTTCTTTAAAAAAAAGTCGTATCATATAAATGGCCCTAATACCGAAATCAATACCTATCTTTTTACATGTATGTGCGTATATTATATATGTTCATATGTACATATACAAATGATCTACATAAATATGTACGTATATACAAAGATTTTATAGTAATGACGAATGTGTGAAATTTAGCGTTGCCAATTTAAAAGGAGCGATGGGCCATTGATAATAGAACTTTACTCTAAATTCGTTTAATGTACCAAATAAATAAACACATAGGTATTGTACATTGAATATATGTACATATATATATAATACCTATTCCACCTTGGTGGAAATGGGGGTCAATGATTTGATGGGTGACCCCCGCTCAAATTCATTTTCAACGCTCTATATGAAAAATCATTTGAGACGTGTTTCACAATTTTCGGAAAATCTAAACTCCTTCGGTAGAAATGCGATTCCAAGATTTTTTGGGCAAAGCTTAAAGTGTGTGTCCGATTTGCTTCAAACTTATTTTTAACGCTCTACAGAAGAACTTAATGAATACGTGTTTCAGCTATTTGAAAAATTCCACCCACAACGGTGGTTAATTAGCGAAAAATGTTGGTTTTGTTAACCATCGGATCGGACTCAAACTTATTTTCAAAGATCATTGCTAAAATTCATAAGAGGGGTGTTTCAAAAAATCCATTCCTCCTTGGTGAAAATGGGAGTCAAAGATTTGGTGGGTGGCCTTTTGCCTTCAAATTCATTTGCATGGATCTAATAAATCATTTGAGACGTGTTTCACATTTTCTGCAAAATCTAAGCTCTTTCGGTGGTAAGTGGATTTTAAAGTAATTTTTTGAGCTGTGTTCGATTTGCATCAAACTTATTTCCAAAGCTCTATATAAGAATATAATG